AGCGTTTCTTTTGTATGATCCACGAGCCCCCGCCCCCTTCCCCCCCCGCCTGCCTAGTTGAGACGTTACCCCTCTGACAGCCAGACAGGCGAGCGCCGCCGCAACCCCCGCCCCTCCCCAATTATTTTCCCGAACAATTAACACCGGTGCTAACTTGACACCTTTCCCTTGTTTGGCTTTTGTAAACCATCCTCCCCTTCTCCCTCCCTTCCCGGCGTCCCCGTTTCCCTCTCGCGCGAGGGCCGCCGCTCACCCGTGAAACAGTTGGAACATTATGGAGCTGTCAAGACAGCGAGGGATTACCCAGGGTGCCTTGCTGCAGTAAGTGACACCACTGAGGCCCCGGTTTGAGATGTTTATTTTGAGAGTAAGCTGACAAGCATGAAGGCCTGATCCCAGAGTGGCAATCTTATTTAATTAAAGGCCTCTTTTTATTATAGCTTTCTCCCCCCCCCCCTTCGCTGTTTTGTTATATATTTTCCCCTAAATAGGTTTATTTACAGAAATACTCTTTTGGTAGCCATCGATATGTTTTTATATATAAATAGGTGTAAATAGATCCTGATATAACAGAAATGTTCTTTAGCAGTCCTTCTGGTATCTAGATAGAAAAGCGTGGCTCACATGAGCGGCGCTGGGCAGCCCTTCCCCCCTCTTTTATTTTCCTTCCCTGGGTAACAACCTGGAAAGCTTTCAGAGCACTAATGCAATTGGGATGCTTACTTAGCTCTAGTCTTCCTGCTTCCCATCCTTGGAGAGAGGGCTTGGAGTTTTATACTTGCAGATATTGAACTTGCTGGCTGCTTCTCCTCTTTCTCTCTCCCTCTCTTTTCAGGTTTTGCCCTTGTTTCATGGGTTTTCTGTGCCAAAAGCAGATGAGTTATGGCCATAGACCACCTGCCTCCATCGTCCTCCTCATGCTTTCATTTCATCAGTTGCTTTCCTTCTCTCAGCCCGTTGCTATTCATGCACAGAATGGGTTGTAGACATTATTATTACTCTTATTGTTATTTTTAATAATGCAGCTTGCTCCTGCTTATCCTCTAAATAAAAGCTAGTTGTTTTTTTTTTTTCCTTTTCATTTCTTTTTAAAGGAGCTGGAAGAAACTAACACCAAAGAGCTCAGTGCTGTTGTTTCCTAATTCCTGCATCCTCTGAGGGCTACTGCCCACACTGTGAGGCTACAATTTAGCTGTGTGTTCCCACTCATTGTGTGGAGTGTGCTGGTTTAACTGTACATTTTATATGAGTATAATCATTGCTCTGAGAAGTAGTCTAGGGAAAGGTCTAGTCCTAACCTATTGAAAACGAAGAGAAGCTGCCCTCTGACTTCCCTGGCTTTGCATCAGGCTCTTATTATTCTCTCTTAGACAAGAAGGAAAAGAAACTTCTTTTTAAGTTTGCACCATTTTTCACAAAAAGGAGTCGATTTTAACAATTATTCTTTAGGAAAAAGATCAGCTGCAGGTAGTATTTGAAAACCAACTGATATTTTCCTTCTGTGAATGAAACACCTTTTATGTGCAGAGTTGTAGAGCCAACTCTTCCCTTTAGAAATTAGAACAGAGTCAAAACTTTCTGTAGTTGTTAAAAATAAGTCTGTATGTCCCAGGAGCACAGTTTTTACACTACTACGTAATTCCAAATAGATGCTAACACTTAGCTGTTTTTGTCTCGAGTCTGTGTCTGTCTTCACAGAACACTGATCAGAGCTTTGGATGTTCAGATATGGATTTTTCACTTCCACTGAACTACTGGCAAGCCTGAGCATTGGTCCTTCCCTGGGTTATCCTGAACTGCCATGCATTTGTCAGCCAGTATCCAGTGGGAACCAGGGAGGACAGGTTCGGATGACTTCTGAACGTGAAGTGGGGTACAGGAGTCTCCTTCCCTGCTGGCAGCCAGCACTGAGGCTGGGGGGCAGCCAGGACCATCACGTTAGCTGTTATTGTTCTAATGAAATCAAACTGTTAGGAGGGAAGTTTAATTCCAAATGTAACGTATAATACAGACAATATTGAATATGACAGATGGGCAGCACCTGGGATCAGTTAATTGTATGTGTTGCTACACCTCAGTTTTATTCTTTCCCTTATTTACAGCTTGTGAGATTTATTTATTTTTTTTTTGCATAGTCTGCATGCATTTCTAAATCAACCATCTAGTTAAACCTTTTTCCCCTTTTTGTGTGGTGTCCTGCATGGTGGTTGGTGTTAGTGCAGATGCCACTGGTTTAATAACAATAATAAAAAGTTGATTCCCTCTTCTGCTCTCCTTTGACAGCTGCAAGTCTTTCTATTGCTGCTGAGTGGCACGAGCCTCACGCTCTGTCCATGGACATCTGCTCCATAAAAATAGAGGGCATTATTGCTGTGGCAAATGGTGCCACCCGGATTAAAAAATGTGTTACCTGAATCTTGTTTGATGCCTTTGCAGTGTCTGTTCCATGTGTGGTTTTTAGCCTGAGCTGGTGGATAATGTCAGCATGTTTTCACTGAAACTTCAAATCTGGGCTTAAGTAAATTGGCAAGTGAGACTAGTGATGAAATCCTGAAGGGTATTTTAGCTATTGTTACTGGTTTCCTTAGAGCTCCTATCCAAGTTACGATGCTTTTGAGTTTTAGTGTCTTTATATATTCACAGTTGCAGGATCACATTTTCTCTCTTCCACTGTCTGTGTTGTTAGTTGGCCTGTAAATAAATAGTCCTTCATCCTTGCTTTGGTTTGCTTATTTCCCAAATTAAAATGTTAACTAATTTACTAAAGAATAATTAACATCCTTTAAAAATAACACAGCAGAGATCAAGCAAACTATGCAGAAGTTTTGTTGCCTGCTTTCGGACAGCTTTCTGGTTCTGCCCTCTAGATTTCCTTTAGGAACTAGCAATTTTTATATAGAAAATTCAATACATGTATTTATAAAGTCAGTCATCACTATTTCCTATTTATTGTTTGATGAAAATATAATCTAAGGTTATGGGGTTGTGTGGGAGCAGTGCTAATCTATTTTTATTAATTATCACAGGTACGAGTGACCCGTATGTGAAGTTTAAACTGAACGGGAAAACTCTTTACAAAAGTAAGGTGGTCTACAAGAATCTCAACCCAGTTTGGGATGAAACTGTCGTGCTGCCTGTACAGACCCTCGATCAAAAACTTTGGATCAAGGTACGTTTTGGTTCCAGGTTTTTGAAAGATGGGTCAGTGGTTTTTTTAAGCAATTATTTTCGAGTTTAGAGACGTATTGATTTTTATCCCCTGTAGCAGTGTAACATAACACAATGCGGTTTAGGAGCTGCAGCAATTTCAAATTAAAATGCACATATGTCTTTTCCAGATCTTACTAGCATGTTTTGCTTTCTGTCTGCAAAAGCCCGAGCTGAAATAAAACTCCTTGACTGGATGTTTAAAACGGAGGAGCTCTGTTCTGCTTGTGCAAACTCAGTGAAACCAATAGTGGTTTCAAAAGCATGTTTTAAGAGCGTAATTTGGCTGGGTGGAACAGAATTATTACCTGGGATGCAGTCGTGACAAGTAGCAAAGCCTTGTCTCATTATGAGTAACGTTACAGTTCCCAGAACTGCAAGCTACCAGTTGTGAGCACTAATTGCTAAAACATCTGCAGCCAGAAGTACCTGATTTTTGTGTGGCGTTTCATTATGCTATCACATAGAGCATAAAGGAACAGGCACAATCCGTAGCAGCACACATGTCTCTGTTTACATAATATTAGGAAGATACTTTCAGAATGCTGTTTAAATATTTAGTTAAAAATACAAATTAAAGCACGGTGATGGGAAATGATTCTTGAATTGTATCTAAGCTTTGATCTTTCAAATACCAGACTGAACTGAAAGGGATTAAAATAGCTGTTCTTTTATCAGCCAGGATAAAATTGGCTTTTTTTTAATGTAAAAACTAGAAATATTTATTTTATTTGTGCCTCCAGGTGTACGATCGAGATTTAACCTCTTCAGACTTCATGGGTTCAGCATTTGTAGCGCTCACTGAACTTGAACTCAATAGGTAATACGTTTATTTAATTAATTGCAGCTTAATTGAGAAACACAGGAAAATAATTAAATGCTTTTGCTGTAGCTTGGGATTTGTCTTTTCGTGAAAGCTTATTTTGATAGAAGGGTGGGGAGCACATATTCAAAGAAACCACTTGAGAGAAATCCTGTGCACGTATTTTATCCGGCGTTACGTACCAGTTTCAAATCCAACCTGGATGGAGCCCGGAAAAAAAGTTTCTATCTGCAGCATTGTTTGGGGAGAGCAACACCAGAATCATTTATGGAGGTGGATGAAGAAAGGGGGGAGAAGGTTGAGACCCCTCCTTAGCCCCACGTAGCGTGGGGTGACCTTTTCTGGCTGTACTTGGGCTGGGAGCCGTTTGCCTGGCTGGCTGCGAGCGCCCCGTTTCCAGCCTCCCCCTGCAGCCATCCGTCCCCACGGCGGCTCATCTGGCCCTGATTTAGTGCAGAGGCAAGCCCTGTGCCTTTTGTCTGCTGCTGCTTGCTCTCAATGTGGAGTTGGAAGCCAGGAATTCAAGTTTTAGTTCTTCCTTTCATACTGCCTTGCTGTGTGACTCTTTTTTTTGAGGGGAAAAAAAAAAGGGTGTATTACAGCTCCCGTGGCTGTTGTGTCTGAATTCCTAGATGCATTACTGAATTTATCCCTGAGATAGTGGCACCAGGTAAATACCAGCATTCCTGTTTTCAGAGGGGGAACTGAGTCCCTCTCTGAAAACACAGATTAAACACAGGCAGAGGTAAGGCAGAACACAGGTCTCATGAGTCAAATCCCAGCCATGAATATTAGGAAATTCACTTGGATGAGTTTTTCTGTCACTCTTCCTCCCTATGAAGTGGAGGTAGTAGTAACTTAATTCAGCTTGCATCTACATATGGAGAGTTCTAAGTATTAAGTAGTGCTATATAGATGCTAGGCTGCATTATTAAAAGGGTGGTGTATTTTGTCAGAACTAAGAAGGAAACCTCCAGTTTTCCCATTTTAACATTTAAACTCAATATTGGGCATTTCAGACAAGAAGCTGAAATTTGCACAGCACAGTGTGACCTTTAATAATCAACTCGAGTTAACTGGAGTCAATAAATGCACATCTTTTTTTTTTTGCTTGTAGAACTACTGAACAGGTTTTAAAACTGGAAGATCCCAACAGTTTAGAAGATGACATGGGAGTGATTGTGTTAAACTTGAGTCTAGCAGTCAAGCAAGGAGACTTCAAGAGAAATGTAAGTGGCTTAGGAAATCAAATTTATAGCTGGTTCATGTAGGGTGGGGAAAAAAGAGCTGGCATAATCTGATTTACAGGGAAGTGCCACCTTTATTTTCATCCTCCAGAACTGCAATAGTGAAATAAATCATAATTTTAAAAAGAAGTCCCATATTTAACTGGGTCAAAGTTACGTAGACTTAGTAGTTGGATGCTTCTGTCTCATAGGTGGTATTGGTATCCACCTGCAATGAGCAGGTTGCTGAAGAGAATGCATGAACTTCACCTGCTGTGATTGTGTTCCAGAGCATGCCATGGTCCAATTTCCACCTAGGAGTTTAGATTTTAGCACTCCAAAGAACAAAAAAAGTGGGTGTGTTTTTTGTTCTTGTCCATGGAAAAAATAAATCCATATGAAATCTAAAAGCAGGGATTTGATGTTAGGACTCCAACCACACCAATTCTGCTGAGGAGCACATTGGCTGAGAAGGAGATTGGCAAAATCAAGGTTCTTACAAGCACTGACAGTGTTTTGACTGAGTTCAATTGAACTTGGCTCCTGATGCTGAAATATGGTGAATTTTGTGATGTAAAACCCAGTGGAGACTGAGAACACAACTGAAGCTGGTGGTAGTTAAAATTCAGGTCCTACACGTGTCTTGTTGTTCTGGGTTTGTGTGTTTTTTCATCTTTTAAGATCTCTACTAGAGTTTTACACAGTGTGTATGGAGCATAGCTGTGTTGATGAGCTTATCCTGTTTCTGTCCTGTAAAGGTTGGGGAACAGCAAAGATCAGGCACTTAATTAGCTGTGGTTTTCAATCCAGTCCAATTTTAAATGTGCAATAAATATGTAAAGAGAAAATCTTTCTACAAGTCTATGTAGTCTAGCATGAAAGTTACTGTTTACAGCACTTCAGTGAATTAGAGGTATGGAATTCCAGTCTGAATGAGATTATTTATAGAAACATAAATGTTTCAATTAGTTGGAAAGCAAAATAATGAAAGCTAATGTGGGATGTCTGGCATTCAGCATTTATTTTCCAGCAGTTGCCTCTTTTGAAAATTGTAAAATCTCAATTAATATTAAGATAATTGTAGAGTTATTTCTACCTCAGTACATGATTATTTAAAAGTGTAATGACAACATTCAAAATGCTGTTAATGTATTTATATATCTATATTATTGGAGATGACTTTGATCTGGGGTGTGAATTCCCCCTTTAACTTGTCCAAGAGTGTTGCTGACATACGTGTCACTGCACTGCAGGAAGGAAGGAGGCAAAGACTTAGTTTCTTTAGCAAAAAAAAAAAAAGAAACCAAAACAGTTTAGCCAAAGAACCTTAAGAATTCTTCTGGGACTTTTAGGAAGGCACGTGCTAAAGTGGACCTAGCCAGTGAGACAGAAAATTGGTTTAAAGTAGCAGCTTTTGGAACTCTTGGGTGCTTAGTTAACATTCAGAGTTCAGATGATAAAAGAATTGGTGCACACAGTAATTTTTTTTTAAAGACAATCTTTTAAGCCCTCATATTTCAAATGCAAATTGCTCAGTGGGTTCAGAACAGTGAAATGGCTCTGTCCCCATTAGCACTTAACAGCAAGGTGATTTTTTTTTCTTCTTTTTAAATTAGCTTACTGTAGTACCAGATGGCACCAAAAATATAAGCCATGTTTCTTAATAATGGCTCTGGGTACTTCCACTTTTTAGTCTTGATTTATTTTTTAATTTTTTTTCTGTTTTTAGGTGCAGTGCAGGTATTTTGAGTTTGTTGATTCTTGTGTTCTATGAGGGAGGGGAGAGAGATGAATTCAGTAGTCGATCCAGTCTCCTTACTTAGTCCTAAGCTTTTTCTAACATATTTGACAAGCTGCTGTTTGAATTATTTTACTAAACACTTTGTTTTGCTCCTTTTTTTTTTCCCCCCTCTCTCTCTGGGTTCTCTTTGGTGTGATGGTGGGGACTCATGAGTAGAGGTGGTCAAGTCGGAAGAAGCGAACTTCCTCCAAGGTAATCCATATTTTATTATCCTCCAAAACAAGTCCATGCCAAAAATCTTTGTACCCTCCTTTGAGATTGAAAGTGTAAAAATACAAGAAGTCTAGATGTAGCCTGTCTAAATGCATTGGCAGATTTTTTTTTTTAATATGATGAGATATTGCTGCTGCTTTCTTATTGTAGGTGCTACTGTAGTAGCAAGTGTCAGTAGAAAAAGAGAAATGGTCTGTGAGAAGGAAATGGGTGTAAATACAACCAAAAAAAGGAGCTATGGGAGATTTGAGTTGCTTAAGGATACCCAAAAGGCACCTGGTAGTTGATACTGGAGTTGAACATGAGCCTCCTGGTTCCCAGTTTAATTGTTTGGGTTGCCTCTTACCATGGGGGAATTTGAGAGGCAGTATTTCTTTTTGTTGCTCCTGTGAGTTCTGAAATTCCTTTTGTTTTTGGGATGGAAACTGAGCAGGGAGTTTTCATTACCAGCAATGTAACAGGATTTCCAAGATCTATCTGTCACCACATATCTACATAACTCAGTTCCCTTGGCCATCTGTAGTATCCTTGCAAGCTTCCATTACTTTTATATTCCTGTACTGTCCCACTTTTGTATTAGATTTTAACTTGTTTGAGAGCCACAATCTGTTTATTTGTTCTGTAAAGCTTTAATTTGCTATTGAGTACATAACAATGATACAGAAACTGCAGGCCCCAGTACCCAGCTTGAGAGGTGTACAGTCTAACTTCCTGAGAAGCAGAATTCAGCTCTTAAAAGAACACATACACATCTTGATATTTTCCCTATATAACTAGTGGTTTGTGCCTAAATAAATTAGATAATTAAGCTCCTCTTATTTTATTCTTTACAATGGTGACATGCTGAGGAGCCAGCCCCCTCAAGTATTGTGCCAGCAAGTATTTTTTTGTCAACAGAAGAAGTGCAAAGTGCAGCCCGTGGAGCTGCATAGAAGCTTGGTGAGCCCTAGTTCCAGGGATATTGGCACAGAGAGCTGCCAGACACCCCTGAATGCTGTATGACAACATGATGGGATAATTGAAGAGCTCAGCACTTCAGTTTTTAACTAAAGCTCTGGAAATTCCTGTGCCCTCACTGTCAGTGTACCTTGATCTCCCTTTTCTTAGGCATGTGCATGCAGCCATCTCTTGATGCTGGTTGGCTTTGGGTCCCAGAAAGTGGAGCCAGGTTTTTAAACTCTGTCCTTTTTGTCCAGAATAGCCAAACTTCTGCCTTGGTTGTTGTCACTAGAATTGGTTTCTTTTAGTTGTATGTTACATCTTATTGCAGTTTGAAGAATTTTTTTTACATACAGGTTTTTGGACCTTTAGCTGTAAGCTGGTAGTTTGATCAGTTCTCAAGACTCTGGCTTGTGCCTTAGCACCTTTTAAAATAAAATTAAGAGTTGCTAAAGCATAGTACTGAGTTGAGAAGTGGTGAAAGTCTTGTTTAAAAGAGGATAGGGGAGTGGGAAAGGAGCTTCAACCCTGTGCTCTATTCTCTTCCAGTCACTAGAGGGTAGGAGAGCTTCAGTTCTTCTTGGGAAGAAACAGTTCATGCTCCGGTGTGATCTCTAAAGAAAAGCTCTGTGACCATCCAAAGGCAGTAAAAAGATTTCCCAGCATGCAGTGGAAAAATCTGACAAAGCAGTATTTCCTAGTTTATTGATTCTGCTACTGCACTAAAACACTAGTACTGTACATCAATAACCATCTTTAGTTAGGAAACTCTGGTCTGTGGAAGCAGTAGTAGCAGTTTGTGGCAGAACATAAAGGCTAGGAAGAAAAATTGTGTGCATAGGGAATATAGGTGTCTAGGGAAGGCACAAGAGGTTGTGGAAGAATAGCCAGAAAGTATGATGGGGTAGAAAACAACGTTGCTGGGTGAGATAAAGATGCAGGAGTAAGGAGGGCAGGGGAAATGGAAAAGGCTCTGTAATGGATACACAGACTCGTCTCTTTTTTGGCTACTGAGCTGGCTCTGACTTGGTTGTTGCAGGACAGAAAGGCCATATACTTCCCATTTGAGCTGCTGAACTGAGACAGATCTAAATTTCATCTCTGTAGGCTTAGACAAAAGTTTTCTATTTGAAATAGGTTTTTTTTTTGTGCTGAACTATAGCTGACCTCTATTTTAATATTTAACTTTCATTTTCCTACAAATACAAGGAAAATGACTTATCTTAAGGATGGACAAAATGAATATATCTTTCACAGCATTCTTTGATCTGTATTGCCTATATGAAAGAAATCTGGTTATACTCTAGTTTGACCATTTTATGTTATCTTAGTGAAGGTTTGGCACATGAGTGTCCTAAAGGAGACTCTTCACATTAATCACGGGGATTCTTGCTGGCATCCCAAATCCCCCCCACATGGTCAGTACCCCTGTGGATGGCATTAATGCTTGCTGCAACTCCATGTCAGACTGTCAGAGGGGTTCATGTGGGCCATTGTGGATACTGTAAACTCTTCATGTGTGCTCTCTGAGCTCCTTTGCTTTTTGAAGGAAAAACCCTCCCTTTCAGGCAGCAATGAGAACAGCAGCAGTAGAGGGTGTCCAGTCCAGCTACGACTGCCTCACGGTCACTCCAGACTGCATGCAGGATGGATTTCAGCAACTGGACATTGTCTTTGAAATCATTTTGGTGCAAGAGCTGTTGAACTGGATGATTTAGCTATCTGTTGATTACACAGCATATATTTTTCACTGCTGCTAGAAGGGAATCATCACACATTTGGGCAGACTCCCAAGACATGGGCAGCACATCCAGATCCCTCATTTCACATGGGAGCCGAGAACAGCATTGTCCTCTGTGGGAGCTGTCTCCAAGAGCTCAGCCTACTGCTTTTTCTCAAAGAGGGTGGCATTGCAAAGGGAAGAGGCTTCTCTTAGGTAGTATTAATATATGCCCTCATATCTATGTATTGGCAAGCTCTCCCCTCTTTTCTGCTTTTCTTTCTGGGGCTGTCTGGGGTGCAGAGGGAGTTGAAGTGTATCTCTGCTGCAGCCCAACGTGCTGATGCTCAGTAGCCTTGTTTGTCCTGGGTGGCTTGAGTCTCACCCCGAGTGCCCCGCATGCTATTTCCAGCATTTGTACAGCTGAATAACCTTTAAGTGTTGAACATCTAGGAAGCAAAATAAGCAGGTTTGCTTGGGGTGGATTGACCCACAGGAGTTCACTCCTGAAACAAAAGCGACGCCGTCGCCACCTCGATAGCCTAAGCTGATTGAATAAATTGGCTGAAAGGCTGACTGGACCCAAGTGCTCCTCAGCAGCTCGGCGCAGGGGAAAATCCCTCGCTCTCCTTTTTCTATTTTTTTTTTTTTTTCTCCTCTGTGGGCTGTTAGGTTTCATTTTTGCCTGCCTCATTGTATTTGGCTTCCTCCCACAATACCCCGTGGGCAGCGACGCTCTCCAAGCGCTTTGCGGAGCGCAGGGACTCGGTTGCCACAGGGTCATGCGTCGTGGCAGCAATCTCCTGTCGGTTCACTTGCCTTTCTCCCTGCCCTCTCCTCTTTCCCAAGGGGAGACTGCCTCTGCAAAATGGTTTCCCTGCCTAATGAGGAGAGGTCCAAAGAATCTTCCTATTTGTGTGTTGTTGTTTTCTCAAATGGCAAATTACGTGGCCCAGTTTCGACGTTGACCTCTTCACAGGGATTGCAGCAGGCTTGCTGTTGTCCTGTCTCATCCTTTTAAATGAAAGATGTGAGAGATGGGCTCACTTCACACTTGGCCACCTCGCCGTGTCATTTAAATGTACAATTTTTCTGCATCTCTTTATTGCTTCAAAAACAAGTTTGAACTTGGGGCATGTATGTGTGTGTGTCAGAAAAAAGTGACAGATTTGAAAGCAGCCCTGATGCACCAGAAGGGATTTGCTGGGTGCCTATAGAGGGAGATTATATACAAATGGTGCTATCAAGGAGACTCAAGCTCCTGAAGGATTTTGTGAAGTTGGGTCAATGAGCTGGTTCTTTCCCCTCCAAAGCTCCATTGTTCTTTCTCATCTTCTGTAGGTGGCTCTGTGAAGGTAGAACATGGCCCACATACTCTTTTTTCTTTAAACCAGAAAGTAATAAAAAATTTAAAGTTGGTGTGAGAAGCTTTTGCATTCATTTTGAAACCAGGAATTAGATTCTGGAAATTAAGTTGTGAGCATTGATTTTTTTTTTTAATCTTTCAGTTCAGAGACTTGGGATGTTTTCTGGGCAAATGTTCCTTCAAAGCAGTAGGAAGAGGAACCATCTTTTGTTTCTCATGTGACAGGGTCCTGCTTTATGACCAGGCCGTGCTTTTGCTTTAGAATAAGAGTACTCATTACTTACCTGATGTTTCACAGTCCCTAAATCTGCAGTAAACAGGGGCTTTTAGACTTTAAAAAGTTTATTTTTAAGAGTAAAACTTTCTGGGTACCCTTGTGCTTATTGTTTTATTTCTGGCTGGCTTGTTTGAGGGATGCTTTTTGTTCAAGTTATGCATTTTACAGCAGGAAACTTCTCATAAAGGTGACCTTTATGATATCACTGCTTATTTTGCACACAGACCCCAGCTGAAATCAGAGCTTTGTCTGGAGACGACTCCTCAAATTCTGGTCTCAAGGCTATCTTGATTTCAGAAGCAATGATGGGCAGGAAGAAATAAGCAAACTTGTCTGCTGTCTTGTGCTTGGGATGTGTGCCAGCTTCCATCATAAAGCACGTGCTTCCTCATTTCCAGCCCTATAGCCTGATCCTAGGCTTCAGCCAACTTTTCTGTACCTCTGCAAGGCACCTTTGCTTTGGTCTGGGATGTAGCCAGAGTGCAAGCCAGCTGACTGTGGGGAGTTTACAGGAAAATAAAGCAGGACAGGCCTGAAGGACCTGGCATCCAGTCCAGGAGCACAGCTGGATTCAGCAGCAGGAGGAGCTGAAGTACCCAAGTGCAGAGGCATCTGTAGCCTGGGAGGTATAGGGAAAGGGAAGACTTGAAGAGATAAAACCATTTTGAATTTGTCACAGATTAAGCAGTTATGTTCTCCTTTTCTGGCCAGTACAGACAGTAGATTTGACTTTTCTGGTCTCATTGTGAAGGCAGGTTAGTGTAGTGATGGCTGGAGGTAGGAAAAGTGGTTGGGGTGGTTTTTTTTCAGTGCTTGTTTTGCCCCCAGTAACTTCCTTGAGCTAATTGCTACACTTCTCTGTGTGTTATGCTGGAATAGTTTTGCCAGCTCAGAGGGAGGCCGTGAAACTTAGTCAATTAACTCTGTGTAAATCAGTTTGAAGCAAGTAGGTGCAGTGTATCAGAGAGGAGGTAAGACTTCTAAAACAAATAATGTAATATCATTTTCTTGTCACCTGGGAGGCGTTTTCCCTATTGCAGGCTTCCCCAGGTAACACTAAACTTGACTCATTGATGGTCCAAGCCTGTGGGTCTGCTACACATCTGGGTTTCCCCAGATGTGCTTGCTTCCAGCAACTGTGAGTGCAATCTGAGACACTGCCTGGTTGGCTGGGATTTCCATCAGGGTGGTCAGAGGAACAGCCTGCCCAGTACCCAGGGAGCCTGGAGAGGTGGCCACAGAGCATGCCCAGACCGAATCATAGATGATCTGAGGCACAGGAGACGTGCCAGACCTGCTGAGCACAGCCTGTGGGAACGACCTGGGCACGTCCAGGAAACCCAAAGCATTCCTGAAGTGATGGGCTGTCTTGCAGGGGCAGGAGGCAAGCAGCCTTCAGAGTCTTTGTGCTGCTCTGCTTGGAGAAAGGCTTGTGGTGGTGGCAGAGCTGGGTTGGGGGGTGGGAAGCAGACTTGCAGCCATTGGACCTGTGTTGAAGTGCTGCAGAGCAGCACTATGCCCTAAACCAGCTGCATGTGTCTTGGCTTCTCTCTCCAGCGTGATGCCCTAAAGTGATGCTAAGTCTCATGCAGAAAGTAGCCAGGTCCTGATAGAGACCAACATGCCTCTCTTTGGAGATGAGCACAGAGTGCTTTTGCAGCTGCACTGCTGTCTGTACGGGGGGGTGCAGGAGGCTGGTTGTTAGGGGCCACCTGTTTTGGGGGGGGTCAGAGTTGATGCATTGCAATATACGCTAGTTAAATATCAAGCTGCAGGTGCTGAGTTTTCCTGGGACTGTGTGGAATCTGGGGTGGTTTGGGTGCCTCCCAACAGTCCTTTGAACTGTCAAGTCAGGGGCTAAAAGCGTGGGGTTGTGTGCTGCAGAACTAGGGTAGGAAGGCCCCCAATGCTGAGCGACTCCCTAAAATTCTGGCCTGGTTGAAAAATGGAAAGAATCCAAGTTTGATCTGAAAACTGAGTGATAACAACTGTCTTTCGTGTGCAGCCTGGAAGCTTTGAAGAGAACTAGATGCTTTGTTTGTAAAAGAAATTGTAACACAGATAATAAACTTTGGGGTTTTTTTTGTGAACTAACATCAAATATCTCTTCCTCCTCTGAGGAAGGAGCTGGGGAGGGGGGGGGAGGGAAAATCCTTGCTCCTAAAGCAGCAAGTCCATCACATCAAACATGGTTATGTTAAATACTAAAACGTTCAAAGTACAACGGAGATAGATAAAGGCTTTGATGGGAAGTGGATATTTCCCAGGGACATTACAAGCAATAATCCAGATGTTATGGTGTAATGCAACGAGTGTCCATGGATAGATGTGGAGCTCAAGCCAAGCAGCGCCTGCTGTAGGCCTTAGCCCTCCACTCCCATGCTGTTACGCCATATGGAAGCAATCTCCAGGCCCCTTTAATAGCCAGCTTTGGATTCCATTTTCACAGGGCTCATAGAGCTAAGTGGAGCTGTTTTATGGACAAGTTAGATAGAAGCCTTTCCAAGATAAACATCCAATTCGAAATTAGGACATACCAAGCTGCAAAATTATTTTAGGGCATATTTCATGGAAGCGCTGCCATTTTTCTGAGGCGATTGCCAGACTGTAGGATGCCCTTTGATCCCTTGTGGACATTACTCCCTTTTTTATAAAAAGGATTTTGAAATAGTTGCAGTGTTTAGGGAGGAATATATCTGCCGGGACTTTGAAGTATGTCCATGGGAACAGTCATGCTTTAGCTTTTTGGCCTAAAAGACCAACTTTAACCAAAAAAAAAAAAACCCTAAAATCACATTGCAGCTGGATTTATGAATCAAAATCTCGTTTTCTTTTTAAAGGTAGGAATTCTTAAACATTGTGCCAGGAAGGCCAAACAGGGTGTTTAAATAGAAGTATATTAATATGCTTGTGGGATTCAAAGAGTTGGGCATTTTAACCAGTAAAAAGGGAGTAAAAAAATTTGTGAGTTCACCACCCATGATTTAAGAATCTTGTTGCTGGGTAATTGATCCATAAAAAGTAATCTTCAGACATCAGGTGCTTTTGCAATCATTTTATTTAGCAACAACATTTCTTACTTGCTTTTAAAGCTAACACGTCCTGTTTTAAAGTGACTTGTGAAATCTCCTCCGTCTTGCTCCCACCTGTATATGACATGATTGAAGCTCCAAAGTGTGGCAAGTTAAAAGTTGCTTCACGAGGATAAAATATGGCAGGATTTTTACTGCAACAAGAAAAGTATAGCCTTGAGTTTTAATGTTTCCAGCTCACTCCCCCCAAATAAAGGCCTATTTAATCATCCCCTGTCCAATAAAATATTGCCAGTTAGCAAACTCTTAGCACAGCCGTGCGAGGTAGGATGAAGCTGTGAAGGTAACAAATGTGGCTACCAGGTAACCATAACTCCAGATAAAGAGCCTGGTGGTGTCAGTGGGTTTTTCTGCAGGCATCAGTATTTTTGATTCGTGAGCTTGGTTTCTGGAAGCAGGAGCTGCAAAGGCAGCGGGTGAAGAGCTAAGGTGGACGACAGGCGGTTGAGTGATTGGAGAGGTGGAAGATGCACGTTCAGCCTTTCACCTGGCCATAGACTTTATGATTGTGGGCTGTCTCCCCAGAAAGGACAGACCTCTATTTTGTGGATGGAGCTGGAGATATTTAAGAGTTTGCTTTAGTTTCTCTCCTCTTCCACCTCTCCCTCCCCACTGGTCTCCTGGGTCTTTCCCTGTGCCAAGGTAACAGACTGCTCCCAACGTTCAAGGTGTGATTTTGCCAAAGCTCAGCCAGGTTAGCTGAAGTTGACTTCTCTGGTGGTTTAAGCCAACCCTGCTGGTGTTGCTCTGATGCTGAGCACCGTCCTTTCACAGAGCCAGCTGGAGTGCAGGCAGAAAATCCATAGCATCCTATCGCCCTCCATTTCCTGCCTGCTCCTAGGAGATGGTGGCATTTTTCTCGCTTCTGGGGCTTTCATATCACAGTCAGTTTGAGCATAAAATGGTGGGTTTGGGTGCACGAACGTTTGATGTTGCTGACTTGCTTTTCAGTCGAGTTTCATGCGGAGCGTGCGGCTCTCCGACGCTTTGCGCAAGAACCAGCTGTGGAATGGGGTGGTTACCATCACACTCTTGGAGGGGAAGAACATCCCTGGAGGAGGCTTGGCAGAGATATTTATTCTCCTCAAACTAGGAAATCAAAGATACAAGAGTAAGGTAAGTATTAAGGATTTCCTTAAGTTTGCTGAAGCCAGTAAGGTTCTTGCTGTTTCTTTTCCCGGTGTTGCTCCCTCAGATGGAACTGTTCTTGAATCCCTTCTGTGTGAGTGAGATCCAAACCAGGAGACCAGATCAGGGACTTTTTTTACTAATGTTTAACATGCCAATATAGAAGTAGGAAGTTAGGAATATTGTATGTATCTGTTTTTGTGCATTTAACATGCTCCATCATATTGATAGATGTTTGACATTAATATGTGATGAAATAGAGCTCCATGCATCACCTGGGTTTTGTTCTTTGCCCATACAGAAGTTAGACTTGCAATGTTAGCTATGCTGGAAAAGCAGACCTGAAATGAAATAAAAGAATTCCTTGTGCAGGGGAATTCTTTTACTTTTATTTTTTAAAACACCTTCTTGAAAAAAAACACGTTAGCTATAACAAGAAAAACCCCAAACCAAACCACACAGAATATTCCATGGTTTTGATTTGAATTTTTATTCCTCTAGGCTGTGTTACTTGTATCCAGCACGATTTCATGGGAGTCTAAGAAATGAATGGGGTTCCCAAAGATATACATTTCATCTCCAAAGTCTAATAAAGGAAGGGGGTCTAATTAAAATTACATTCTATTGAGAAAGCAAGAGGAAAGCATGTCAGGAACTGGAAATGTGGAGGGAGGAGGAGGAAGCACACAAATTCCCTCCTGTACAAAATGTACAGAGCATGTTCACAGAACATCATGTTCAGATGTAGGCACATCTGAAACCTGCACTCTGTCCCCTACGTGGGACCTCAAACCAAGGTCACGATAGAATGTTTTTATTTAGAAAAGCAGCTCTGAAAAATAACAAATGGGTTGGTTATTTTAGAATAAATATATGTTGTTCCAGTTAAGATCCCTTATTATGTTCCTCTTTAATGGTCCATAACCTGTGTCATGAATCTGCAAGCCTGCCTTGTTTGCAGTCACAGAAAATAAAAGTTTAGAATGAGGAGTTAAAACAGTGACCTGATTGCAGAGTGTTTTTGTATGGGGTCCAGAATAACTTGGGAACTGCTGCTGTTCCACCCTAATAAGACCCCAAATTGGCAGCCCTTCACATTCTGTCCTAGAGTTTATTCAGCTTATAAAGTACCATCTCTCGTGGTCCAGAAAAGCAGACAAGGTGGGAGGAATCTCAGTCATGGTCCAGCTGAGCCTATCTCATGTTCCCTCAGTGGCAATGCTGATATTGATGGTGGGCAGTGCAGTGTGATGTTACTGAAACCTGGTGGGATCATTCCCAGGACTGGAATGCAGGGATAGGTGGGTACAAGCTCTTTAGGAAGGACAGGCAGGGAAGGAGAGGAGGAGGCATTGCCCTCTGTACCAGGGACCCGCTGGAATCAGTGGAGCTCCACCTGGGGAAGGATGATGACCTACCTGGTTGAGAGTGTATGGGTTAAAGTGAAAGGCAAGACAGGGGAGGGTGATGTTACTGTAGGGGTCTGCCACAGGCCACCTGACCAGCAGGACCAAGCAGATGAGGCCTTCCACAGCTCATGGCAGAGGGGTTGGAACTGGGGGATCCTTGTGGTCCCTTCCAACCCTGACAGATTCTGATCTGTTTTAGCAGAGGACTTTAGAGCCCTAATGGCTCAATGGTTGGACTTGATGATCTTGGAGGTCCCTTCCAACCTAAATGATTCTATGATTCTATAAGAACTGAAAGTGATTTAAATCTCAATTCTGTGAGTACCCAGAGTAACCTGAACGCATGAACAATCTCACCAAACTCAGAGGGACAATTTATGGATACTAATCTGACTAGATGTTTATAATTTCAATGCTGCTCCTTCTTTGCCTAGATCTTAACACAGAAGGGGAAAAAATCCTGATCTGAGTTTGTAAATGCATTCAAACCTGTTTTCAGGTGATTGCCCTCAAAAGGTTTATTCTTCATTTCTTGTGTGATGTTGAACGATGACCACAGTCCACTGAAAGTGGAGCTGGTGGATCCACCTTGCATTTCAGAATTTCTCCAGCCAGTCATTCATGTCACACTGGTATATTTATTGTTACTGGGAAAGAGGAAAGAGTTTTTAAGAAAGATGAGGTTGTGTGATTGTCTGGGGAGCTTTGGTTGGAATAGACTTAGTACTTGATGCCCTAGCATCTGGCCTTGTTCTTGTATAGAAGAATTGATGTGTGCTTTACTGTGGAAATAACTACCATTTAAGAAAAGTAAATATTATAACTGCATGTTTTCTAGACACTGTGTAAGAGTGCAAATCCTCAGTGGAGGGAACAGTTTGATTTTCACTACTTCTCTGACAGGAAGGATATGTTGGACATTGAGGTCTGGAGAAAGGATAACAAAAAGCATGAGGAGCTTTTGGGAACGTAAGTTGGGTGGTGTTTTTTTGTTTGGGTTTTCTTGGGTGGGAGGGTGGGCTAAATACAAAAGATAATGTGATTTTTATTACTTTTTAAATATTAATCTAATTGTTTTCATTACCAGTGTCATGCTGAGTGATGTGATTTTCTCTTTACTCTGGTCCAGATGCTTCTTTAAGGATACGCTTATTAAAACCTGTTTAAGGGGAACTGATGAGCCACAACTTGAATGCAGAGACACCAAGGCTGACTCTGCACATGCTGACTGAAAAATCCAAAATACCATGGGAGCTCAGTGGCAGCCATTTCTGAGAGAGCTGGTGGCAGCAAGGAGCAGTACCTGTCTGTGCTTGCATGGTGATATTGCTCCAGATCCAACCGTGCTCTGCAGGGCTCCCTTGTGGCTCCAGGCTGGCACCAGCAGGGATCTTTGTGCTTCTTTTTAGAGTGGCACTAGTGACCCTTTTCTCTGTTTGCACTTTGGTAGTGCCTTGTTTATATATGGCTCCTGTTACCTGGATTTGCTTTATTTGGGTAATCTCCCTCTTGCCACAGAGGGCTGGTCTCTGTAGGTTTGGTGCCCATGTTCTTGCACAAGCTCATGTTATTTAAAGCATCCTTTTCAGGGACAACCTTACAGGGGATCTACCCATCTCCTAACTAACACTGAATTTTGTCCTGCTGCATTATTCCACTATAGCTTCAAATTCTCGAGGAATGATCTTATGTCATATTAGCAGATGAGACTTTATGGGTTAGCAGTTGAACTTCTTATTTTAGTTTCTTAATGGGAATTGAATCCCACTCTTCTGTCCTGCTCTTCTCCTTCCACTCTAACTCCAGCTTATTTTGTATTAATATAGTCATTGTTTCCTAGTAGTAGCCGAGTAATCTTTCCTCCTGTTGCCTCCTCCCCTCTTTTGGCTTGCAGTGTTTTCATCTAGACCCATCTCCCCAAACTGCATCTGTGCAGATGCACCAAGAACCATTTACTTCACTGGAGCCCCTCTTGGGTCTATCTGTTCTTCTCTGCTTGCCACAACCTCTAAATTCTTAGGGGCAGGGGTCCTGTCTGCATTTGTTTGCTGTTCTCACCTGGTAAGCATTTCACAACTTGCTGACTAAATAACAGAAACTAGTAAGAACATCCTCTTACTTAAAGCATTCAAACAGTTTGAAGCTATTCACTGAAAAGAACAATGCCCTTTGGCTCCACAAATGTTTGTGGTTTTGCAGAGCAGGAAATGCTTTCTGGCTGAATGCTGTTGCTCATCACATGGAGAAGTGGCTGAAGATGAATATGTTCCTTCCATTCTCAGAGTTACTTTTATTATTTCTGATATTCTGTTTGGAGTTAAATGTTTGTGGCTTGCCTCTGTTCAGTCTCCCTGATGCTGGAACAATTCTTTTTTAGTTTTTCCCCTCCTCTTTTTTTTTCTACTGGTTTCTGGCAGGTGGTGTTCAGTCTGGCAAAAAAATTATCAGCAAAATGCTTTTTCTGTTATTAAAGATTTCAGCACTGAGAAAGACAGCAAAACTAACTTCAAGGTAAATCTAACACACAGAGGCTATGTGGAGTGAAAAATATTGTTGCTGTTTCCTTAAACACAACAAATTTGCTGTAGTATCAAAACAGGAAAAAATTACACTAGATTTTAAAGCACTATTACAAGAATAGGTGAACACCAAATGCATAATAACAAGCCTTGTTTTTACAGTGTAGAAACTTTTGACACCCAATAAATAATATTTTATGAATTGTTCAAATGCAGCCTAATCTGGAAAAGGATTTTGTAGGAAAAACAATATTATGAGGTGCCATGTTTATTGTGACTTCCAAGTTGAGTTTTGAGATTTCTGGATTTCACAACTTCATTGTAAGGAAGATTCTTCTGTAGAGTGTTTGTGGGTTATATTCAGTTGTTACACATAGCAGTGCACCCCAACTGCCCTCAGTTTGCATGATTTTAAGGAAAAGGAAAAATTTGCTGATTTTGAATGAATAATTTTGTGGTCAATTTGTGGACAGAGTTAGGATTCATTATGCTTCTCTCAAGGCTGTGTTGGTTGAACAATGTTGATTAGACCTTTAAATACATATGTATTATTAATATTTAAGTGAACTTGAGGAGGTGCACAAGTTAATTTCTCATAATTTGAGTCATGTCTCATAATCCAGACTGCTGAATTTCTGTGGAATAAAATTTATGTTAATCCCTTTAGAACCAGGGTTTCATGTAGGATGGATGCCTTAAGCCCCTGGAACGTGGCTCTCCTCCCAGGTATAATTTGGTTTCAAGGTAAAATATTGTTCTTGAAATAGGACCCAAAGTGTCTGTGGAGACTACGTAACATAGAGAATAAGAAATGTTGGACCTTTGGTACCAAACACTGACATCTGGGGCATTTGTGTGCTTTTGAATTAGTGAGGAACCACTGGGTGCAACTTCATGTCATCCTTCTCCTACCATGAAATGAACCCTCACTGCCAGTGCACATAACAAGCTAAATTATTGCCTTCAGCCTACCTGCATTCTCCTCAGACTGGGTCTGATTTTTCTTCCTAATTTAAACTACTGCAGCCTTTAGTGGTTCAGCTGCCAGCGTCTGACACTGTGGGGTGGCTGTGTTTTGGTGCTGGATGAAATAATCCCTCTATTTAGTCTGCACAGAACTGTTAGTAACATTTATTGAGTGCTTTTTGTGTCCTTTGGGATAAGAGGAATGCTATAAACAGGAGAGGATGTTAATGTATATTAATAAACAAAGGTGTTAACATGTGCAGAATTTGTCCAGGCAGAGTTAGATTGTTTATGCCAGGTTGTTAGAGAGTGTTTCTGCATTAAGGGATATGCTTTGAAAAAGACATGCTGCAGAATGCTAGAGTGTTTTTCTTCATGTATTTACCTCAAGAAAGAAGTTTTACAAAATTTGCTAGACTTAAGACCATGAGCTATGAGACTGGAGAGCATCCAATAACTTTATGATGAATGCCTGCAGGAAAAAGAGTCATTGCAACAAGAAACAATCCTTATTTTAAAGGCCATGCTGTTGGGATGGAGCTGTAAAATCTACTATGGCTGCATCCAGACCTTTCATTTAAATTTTACCAAGCTATAGAAAGAATCAGGCAAACAGAATTTATCTGTGGAGTAAGTCAGAATAAGACCTTATTAATTGTCTTCCTGACACCTGTGGCATTTGAAATTCCTTTTCAAATATTAATCATAGAAGCATCTTAATGTAGGCTGTGATAATGGTTCTGACCTCTTTTGTGAAGGGCTTTCATGAATTCTGCAGTGGAAAAACAAGGGTAATGTTGTGTGCAGCTTTTTTTCATATGTATTTATAGATTTTTAAGGATATTTATTATAATTTACTAAAATGTGGATTGGCTGATAAAATATAACTCCATGGCTACTGATAAGAAGCTAAGCTCAGCACCTTTTAGTGAAATTTTAACACTTGATTCCCTGGTAAAGTTAACCATTTAACCCAAAATTTACTATGTAGTTTTCTCAAGCAATGTTTATCTGCAAAATTAATAAAAAAGGGAAGAAAAAAAAAATTTGGCAGCTTAAAGATGAGGGCTGTAAGTCAAAAGAACAGTGTTAAATGAAAAACTAATGTTGTGGTGTAATCCTCTACAGAACTAGAGGTTAACAGAGAGGTGTAGACCTCAATATTGATCAGGAGGAGGTAGGAAAGCATTTAATTAATTGTGGTTTTAAAAAAAAAAAAGATACAATTGTGTGCACAAACTTAGAGAACTGTATCCCCTGTAGAACATGCATATAGCCATGTGTGTAAAAGATATCTGAACTTAATATGTGATGTAGCAAAAGATGAAAACAAGCAGAGCTATCCTATTCTGAGATAGGGTTACTGGGTTGAGAATTTAACTCAGGAGATCATTTGCATCATCTAAAATACAAATAATCTCAGAGTTCTGCCCTTTGCATTCAAATCAGGCCAGCTTCTGAGCAAAACCTGGATTGCTTCCATTAGTTTTATACTGTGCCCATCATGATAGTCTCTTAGCACTTTCCTGTGAAGCAGTTATTTGCAATAGGTCTTGCAGATAGAAAGCTGAGAAAGAAGGAAAGGTAGATTTTCCATTTCTGGAAGATGGGGGACATAGTTTGGAAATCATTAGACTCATTTTAATAGTGTAAAAGTGTTTGTGTGGAAACTGCTGAATTTATATAGTAAATTGAATGTCTAATTGTTTTACTGAGCTGCTTTCTCTGCAGTCTGATCAGTTATGTTCTATAAACTAAATGAAACAGATTCTTTTTTTCTTAAGCCTTTTGCCATTTGCAAGTGCAAATGTGGAAATTCTTTTCAGTTCCTCAAAAGAAAATAGAGAGGCATACCATCACCTTGAGTGAACACAGATGTTTTAAGGAAGTTAGTTTGCACGGAAATCAGACATGATTTGGGGAAGAAATGCTTATACTCCACCTCCTGCTGTTTTCCCCTCCACATGTGCATCCTTCCTACCCCCACGCCCTTATACTCAAGCTTTTCTTTGACCTTTGACTAATCAAATTCCTTTATTAAGAGAAACAATTCCAATTTGCCAAAACAAGCTAGAATTATATTTAACTTTGCCTTTGAGATAGGAGAGATTTCTGAGGTTATCTGTTGGTGGGAGATGCTCTGTTGTCTGAACGTGTTGTCTTTTCTCTCTTACCCCATGGAAAGTTCTTAACGTGAAAAAGCAAATGCAGCTTTTCCCCGTTGTGACAGTGTTGAGTGGGTGGTGTATGAAATGCTGACGTGGGAGATGTGGCCTTTGTTGTCAGCTGAACCACAGAGCAGCTGGGTGACCCTGAGTTTTCCCCTCTACTCCTTCCAGTTTCTTCATCTGCATAAAAAGAAAACAAACCCCAAACTAAACCAACCCCCCGCAAGATAACGATGCATTCCCCCTTTTGCACCAATACCTCAAGTATCACTAAAACTGCTGCACTATGAGAAGCAGCTGTGTTAATGCAGCCAAGGTGAATTTGACCTCCAGTGTGGAAGTGATAAGGTCTTTCTCAAATGCTTGCCTTTTTTGTTGTAGTTTTGTTTTCCTTTCTACTCTAACTTCTCTTGTCATATCTTTTGAAAGAGTCTAGGCATAGCAATGAGCTTTAAATGCAACCTCTCACACATGGAAATTGTGTTGAGAGGCAGCCTGTGCACCAAACAGGGTTGGGACTCTTCCTGGTTTATTTTCCTTCTCTTGGAAGCAGTTAATAAGAGTAAACTTGCAACCTGTTGTAGGTTTGATGGGGTGAAGCAAAGAGCACACTTAAGGCCGAGTCATCCCTGTTGATTCTGATCAGAATGAGCTTACACAAAGAGCTCTGGTTTTATACGCAGAGCTACCGGACGACTTACGAACTCATCAGAACACGATGCCTTATACTTCATAACGTAGCTTCTTGGGTTTTCAGGCTGAAATGTTTGGGGATTTATTTTTTTCACCCCCCCCCCCAGCATTCACAGAAAAGAGGCTGTTAAGAAGCGGAAAGCATGCAATTTATAGCAGATGGGTCTCAACCGCTCCGGCTCTACTACTGGAATGGGATCAATCAGGAGCACTACACGCACCATTTACCCAGAAGAAACCCACCTGGGGGAACCCTGTGGAATTTTAGCCTATTAAGACAACACCTTAACAAGTTTAGTTTAAATAAAAACTTGTCGGCAGGCATTAAGCAGAGCGAAAGCTCTCGCCAGCCCTTGGAGAAATGCAGCTCCCATCGCGCCGTGGCAGCGAAGATTCCCCGTCCTTATTTTTGGTGGTGGTTTTCTTTATGTGTTATTTTGTGTGTTGTTTTTTTTTATTTTATTTTTATTTTTCTTTTTTCCCCTTTTTCATTTGTAACTTTTGTTCAGCCTCTTCTTAAAAGCCCAAGCCCCACGGAGGTTCAAAAAAGTTCCACTCCATTTGCTGGACTTCTAAATAGAAGGCATTTAGCTGAGCCAAGTGATTAGACTTTCTGTTGCATTTAACCACTCCCTTTGCATATAGCTCGCTGTCTACTCTTCTCCCATACTCATCCTTTATAATTGTTTCTATTAGTGTTCCTCTTCTTTCCTCCTTATTTTTATTTTTGGAGAAAGCATCAGGTTAATGATACATATTATGTGCGGAGTTGGTGGGGGGACTTTTAAGACCATCCTTCCCTTTGGGAAATATAACAGTACACTGAAAATGAAGCTCTAGTAAGGCTTGTAAAAGAGATTGGGGCATACAGTATAATGTAGCATAAAATGGAGTATGTGACTTTAAAGAAACTAATCTATTTTAAGCTGTTTTAAATTTTGCATTTGACCCTTTTCTTTTCCCGCAGGTGAAATAAAATTGTTTCAGATCCATGACAAAACATGAGGGGGTTTTATAGGGGAAGTGAGGCAGGCCAGAATTCAGTTTTTCTTGCAGCCCAGCCCTTTTACCTCTGTTTACCAGTAGGTGAACCAGAAAGCAAAACTTTGACTGTTAAGTGCAATAGAAACTGGTTAATTGGTTTCCCATGTTTAATTTTGAGGTGCCTTTTTTCCTTTCTTTTTTTTTTTTTTAATTCTTCCCATCCTTAACAAGCAATAAGTTTTGGTGGCTCCTCCCCATTGAAATCAATATAAATATTTTTTATTTTTCTTTTCCCAGTTCCTTTTTCTCACTAACCCTTGACAATGTCATTCTAGGTGCCAAGTGGACATTACTGCCCTGCCGATGAAGCAGACCAACTGCTTAGAGCTGCCTCTGGAAAAACATCCAGGCTCCCTGCTAATGTTGGTTGCTGTTGCTCCGTGTACAGGGGTGTCCATCTCTGATCTGTGTGTTTGCCCTTTGGGAGACCCCAGTGAAAGGCAACAGATTGCACAACGCTACGTGAGTTTGTGGTTTTGGTTTCTTTTTATTTTTCCTCCCTTAGTTTTGAAAGTAGTCAAAAATGCAGGATAAAAAATAAATTGTCCAGTTATAATAATGTCTTGTACCACAGAAAACTATTGCATGGAATAGTTACTATGTGTAGAATGACAAGGAGACTGGCAGGGCAGATAGCCCCAAGCAATTTGGCTACTTGAATTCATTGAGTTTTAAATTAATAATATTCTTTGCAAACTTCAGTTTTATTAAGAGATTGCTATGGGGAATGAGACACACTAAAGACCACTGAGACATCATAGTACACTAACTTTCCTCCTTTTGGGAGGATATGTTCTGGACTTTCAACTGTTGGAAGATGGAGCCTTAGGATGGCTTCTGTGCCTCAATCCTCAAAAGATGGGCAAGGAGGAGTAAGTATGTCCATCTGAAATGGATTGTGAGACTTGAGGGATGAGGAATTTGAACCACATAAGCCAAAAATTTGAGGACAGATTGCTCCTGATTGCATGTGCTGCCTTCCCAACTCATTCTACTTTTCCAGGTCTACCTATGTCCCATTTTCTGTTTTAATTTGCCTGTGGTGCTTGTGTGAACATGCAGGGCTCCTTCCAGTCTCCACTATAACATTAACATGTTGTATGTGAATGGAGACCTTTTTTAGGAGCAGTTAGCATGTGTTATCACAAACCTCAGGGTCGTGATGAACTGCACTAGTGGATGTGTATTTATGTGTACATCAGCTGCTGAACTCAAACACCACGGAAAAAAGAGTGATGGATAGGGAAATGTAAGTCATTTAGTAGTTCAATAATTTCTGTTTCTTACTGAAATACAACAAAACATATCTTTATGCTTTCCCCCTTACAGTGTATAAAGAATTCCTTTCGGGATATAAGGGACGTTGGCTTCTTACAAGTCAAAGTTTTAAAGGCAGTGGACTTGTTGGCTGCAGATTTTGCAGGTATTTTGTTACTATTTTGCAGCATATGATGCTGTAATACATTGTGTGTGCTACTTAGACTTTGTGCAGTACTGTCAGTTAATCAAGGAAAAGTAAATCTTTCCATCTTTTCTGCAGTGGTGAAATCTGCCTCTGGGAACTGAAACACCAAATGGTTTTGACTCCCAAAAGTGTGTGGGAAGGTCTAGTGTTTGGAGATGTATTTCCCCTTCAGATCAGAGCAGTGTGACTGATAACTCTTAGCATGGTGTGCTGTTGTATTTTCCAGCAGGAACATGTGAAATAAGAGTCAATATAAAGTGATAGTGCCTGTAAAGCAGCCTCTCCATCTTTTACCGGGTGCCTTGCGAGTTCGTGAATGAGACTGAAAGATTTTGGGGGCTTCTGACACACTGCTGAGTGTGTGGGTGCTGAGGTTTGGGTGATGCTGCAGGCTGTCACCCAAAAAAGAAAGCTTGCCAGCGATGGGAATGCGAGTGTGGTGGTTTCTCTCACAGCTCTTTTGAAGCTTCACTTAGGGATGATCTTTTTGGTGCTCTTACCTCAAGAAAAGGATGAATTTTCCACTGAGCTGGGCCTTAAAATGTGGTTGGTCCTGACAGCAATGGACACAAACAGCTTTTAAAAATACAACTTCATATAGATTCTCTAAGGGAATTGATACTTCTCTGTAGTGACTGCCTGGATATTATTATTTTTATTGTCATCTTCTTCAGGATTCTGGAGACCTTTTAATTCCCTTCTGGATGTTGCAGCAGCTCATAATTCACAGACATAGCATTGTGTGTTGTGTATTTGCTGACATGGTCATTTTTTAAGGTAACTTGTTGATAAAGGCAGGGAAGGTGTTAGAGGGAAAACACTCTTGCCCATTCCCTGGTATTCATGAAGACATTGTAATGTAAGTGAATGTTGCTTGTAAAATAAAGACCAAAGAGAGAGCCCAAGATTAATCATGATACTATTTCAATTTCAATTCACTCCTTAACCCAGCAGTGGAAAAAAAGGTTACTGCAGAGAGCAGTACTTTAAAGAACTGAAGGAACTGGATTTGAAAACAAACAAAAAAACCTGCTAAAAATGAAAGGTAGCTTGTACAGAAAAAATGTTTCTTAATTAACACAGTGTATGTGTCTATATGGAATTAGGAGTGTAACTGCACCTTATTAACAGATAGAATAAGAAGTGTACCACTGCAAAGCAGAACCTTTGGCAAAAGACAAGGCTAGGGCTATCTAGAAATACAGGATGATTTAATATAGATAGTGTCCTGGGGAAGAGCTGAGCCTGGAAGGTTATTTACCCTTTGGAAAACATCCCTGATGCTAATGCAGTTGCATCAGTGATGGGTTTGGCCCCCTTTTCCCTCAGTACTTAAACAGCAGCATGTGGGTGGATAATGAACATTGGGAGAGACACGCAGGTTCTTGATTCTGCAATTCAAAGACTTTTCACAGAGTATGTGACACACATTCCTTGTGCATAGCACAGAGTGAAATTCTGCTTAAGTAAAAGGTTACTCAGTCTGTCATTATATTCAAAATAACCCAGGCTTCGAGCCTGATTCATGAAGCAAATGACAAATTGTTTTTCAATGCCAGTGCTGAAAATATCCTAGTATTATGCTGTAATAGACCCACCAAATTGCAAAAGGATGCAGCCATTTTAGGTAAAAATAGCATAATTTCTGATCGTGAAATGAGAGACATAAAGATTAATTATCTGTTCTGAGCCATTCATAAATGATTAGTGCAGCAATTATGGGCTTCCATAATAGAGCCTTCCTAGAGCAGTGCCATATTTCCTGCATTGCCAGGGAGACTGCTTGGATTTATTGTTATTGATAAAAGTAAATTCCAAGTCCAGCTAAAAATCTGATAAAGGGAAAATCAGAGAGGCAAGAAGAGGTACAAAGATCTCCAAGGGTTAACAGCTGTGCAGTGTGAGCAGGTAACATTCCCTTCCTCTTCTAGCCCATAGCAGTTGTGAGTCTTGTGTGGGTAAACTTCTGCAGACCAGTCATCTACTGACTGGTGTAATGCCACCCTATACCTTATTTCCATAGTAAAGACTGGATTTTTGGAGCAATTGGGATTTCTGTTGTCAGTTGATTATATACTGGCATTATAGATTTTAATTGCAAGTTTTTAGCCTACTGTAATAACAGCTATCAGAAAACAACCTCGTGTCTGCTTTGGTTTTGAGTAGTTTTTTGAAAATCCATACTTCACCATCTGACATAAATCTTAGGCTAGTTTCCACACAGCTAGATCAAATATGTAGAAGCACTTCAGCCACAACTAGCCCAATCTGAGCCTTCCATACTTTTATATTCCTAGATAATAGTTTTGTTGATGTGAAAATGACTTTTTCTGCTTTGTTGGATGTTTTCTGTGTATGCCTGAGAGTTCTTCTCAAACACTGCATTTGCTCACTGACCAAAAAATAGCATTCAGAATACCAAATTATACAGTGGGATTGTTTTTGGCATACACCAGTTTGCATTTCAAGCAGTTTCTCTGAACGACTACGTGCATTTTCCACACTTATCAAGGATTGGGGATGTAAGCTAAAATGGAGAAAAATAGATTCCAGTAATACACGTGGTCTTTAAACTTTACCAGTATTGACTAGTTAATACCCACTGTTTACATACTGAAAAGATTCCTGGTTAGTTTATAAACCTCTCAGAGTAAGAACCTTAAGAGCTCTGCATTAATAATACTAAAAATAAGGATTAAGGAAAAGACAGCTTTTGCTTAAATGTCTTGTTTGTCTGCTATCTAATCCCTGTATTGCTGAAATATTTAGCTGTCTACGTAAGTTAGGCTGGAGTGTCTGTGGCTGAGTTATCTGTGAACATGGAGGATGACATTAAATCAGATATTGAGCCAGACATGCTGATAAAGGCTGCTCTGCTCATGATGGAAATGGTTGAGCTTCAACAGGTTGTGAAAGCTACAAATTCATGTAATGTGAATTACCAAAAAAATCTCCAACATTACCAAACATGTTTTTGCCATAATAGGTTCCATGTTGACATCCTTCTTTTGAGAGCAGGTTAAGTGGTTTTTGGTTGGTTGGTTTGGGGTGTGGGTTTGCTGTAAATACCTGATTCACACACGGATTCTCAGTTGATGTTGGGTTTTGTTTCAACTGTGGCACTGTGTAGGATCTTCATAGGTCCAAGAACTTGCTCACATGGAACTAACTGAAGAAATTCTGCTGACACAATTAGTGCCATGCTTCTCTTCTTATGGTGTGGATACTTAAACCAGTAATCAACTAAAGAAGCCCACAGACTCTAAGCACAGTTTGAAACAGAAAGCTGTAACTGCAGCACTGGTGCTTACCTGGGTCAGAACGATGCTGCAGCTTTCAAGTCATCTGAGTAATTGGCAATGTGAGCAGGTTTTTCCTGCTATAAAGACTTAGAGGTGATTTGTTGTAAGTCTTGGATTTCAAGTGTTAGAGTGAAGCCACCCAAATGAGTTGCAAGGTAAGTGGGAGAGCTTCTAGAGCTGAGGAGGCATTGAAGATGGTGTTTATTTCCCAAGTCATTCCAACAGAATGAGGCAGTTTGCAGTTTTCCTAATAGATACAATTTTATTTGGCCAATCACTTCCTCAGCTTTGCTGCAAAGAAAGAGTATGCATGCTAAATACAATAACTGGTCCACTTAATTACTTTTTTTAATCTATCTGATCTTCCCCTAGGTAAAAGTGATCCTTTCTGTGTGTTGGAGCTGGGAAACGACAGTCTTCAAACACACACTGTTTACAAGAACCTCAATCCAGAGTGGAACAAAGTTTTCACATTGTAAGTGGATTGCTTTTGAAAACATGCTGCAACACCAAACCCTTGGCAGCTTAGCTATGAAAGCTATTGACTTTGAGCAAATGCAAAGGTCAGGCTTAAGATATGTCATTTTTTCATAGCCAGAGAGGATGTTGGAGAAATATCAAATATAACTCAATTAAAGCCTTTTGCCTTTTACTAGTTCTTGCATGGAGTTTATTAATAGAAGTCATTAAAAGAAAAATCACTGTGATATTTATAGGAAGAATCATGACTAGACATAATGGAGTCACAGCTCGATCCAAGAGATAATATAACAGAAAGTAGAGACCAGATACTCATGCCTACATTTTCCATAATTGAAAATAAAATGTTTCACTGAACAAAGGTAGAATGTTGAGTTTGTAAGTAAGCAGGAAGTTAGAGCTCGTGTTGTTCCTGGTACATCTTCTGAATTTAAACTAGTAAAACATAACTTAGCCCAAACTAGAAGCTTAAATTTTTTTGGAAATAAATTGAACAGCAGCAAAAAATCCAACTTTTATTAATTAAAAAGAGGTACTTTAAGTATTTCTTCTAGGAAGCACAGATTTTTAATTTTCACAGAGGTTTTTGTGAATAACAGAGTGAAACAGGTATCTCCAAGAGGAGGAGTCTGTGGCGTGGAAGGCAACCACAAGGGCTGGCAATGCAGCATTTATGGCATTTGCACTGGAAGAACAGTTTGAGGATTATGAACTTCTTGCAAAAGCAACATTCATAAATATTGGGCTAGATGCAAACACAGTAAAAAGTATTTGAACTCTTTGACAGAAGCACCTGGCTGGATTTCTGTTTAATTCACGGGTGCAGCTGAATGCGTGTCTCTTGGAGTCCTTTTTCTTCCAGTCATCACTGTTTATTCTGAGACTGTGGCAGCAGATGAGTCTTGTTGGCCGTTCTGCCAACAAAAGAAATGTAATAAGGATCAAAAATTATTTTAAAAAGTTTGTGTCTGTACTTCCAGTGAATCTCAGAAATGTCATCTACAGACTAACTTTCTTGTTGCTGTTGCATGGCTAGCCCAAGCACCAAATCTCCAGAGCCAGCCAGGCTCTCACATCTTGCCTTAGATTTTTGGCCATTTAAAAAAATTGCACTCAGGCACCTTAAAAGCTATTGATGATTTAGATTTATTTTGGAGCAGAGTGGATTGTTTTGAGTGAATGAATCCATTTCAGCTGGAGTGTTTGATACCATCAGAGAGCCCTTCCCATCATATTCAGATTTTCTGTGACACACTTATCTGTGTGTGTCACTGTGGGGCTTTAGTGTTTGATACCCCTGGTAGCTATATCATGTGGAAAATGGTAATGGCTTGGAGACAAACATGCAAGAATAGTTGCAGAAGTGGCAGGTTTCAATGTATTTTAAAGCCTTAATGTCTTGAAAGTAGTTCCTTTCCTGGTGGTTTGGCTGCTACTGGGTCACATCACAGAACATGTCTCTCCAGCTAGCAGCCATAGCAAGTAGGTGGCTTGTAGATTGAGACTCTGCTCTGTGAGGAGCAACTCCATTGTGTTGCAAGCAGAGGTTCTGGGAGCAGCACTGCTCTGGATCAACTTTCTTTTGGTCAGAATGGTTACACTTAGTTAAATAATAAGCAGACATTGTACCACCTACATCTTTTATTTCTTGGATGTGGAAAAAAAACAGAAGATAATGAATGCAACTCACAAGTCATCTCCACTTACCCATGTTTTTGCAGACACACAGATGCATCTTTCCTCAAATGAGACTCTGATTTCTTAATGATCTGATAAATACTTAGGATCATCAGTAGAGCATTTGCAGTGAATGGAACAAAAATATTGTATGTTTGGCCTCTAATTAGGGTTAATAGGGTTTTGGATATTTAAAGTAATTTGTTTTGTTAGTACCTTAAAAGGGTCATAAGTGTTCAGTAATTGTTCAAGTCAAATTAAGTTCTGTAAGTTTTATTTTCTGGATTATTTATTTAATGTCCTGAAGACTGCTTTTGAATTCAGCCCTTCTCCTCTCCCAGTCACCAGCTTTCTCTGATGGAGAGCTGAGTTTTCCACTGCCAATGATCAATGCACAAAAAAGTCACTGTCTGGTAGAGTTTCCTCACCTAGTTGTGGGACTGAAGCATGAGGGGAAGGCTTGGGGAATAGCTATCATTTGATTCATTTTGGGGGGAATTTAATTAAATGCTGATTTTATACTCCAAGGTAATACAAACTTAATTAGTAAAACAGTATTCTCAAATCTTTGTGGAGGAGACTGTGTGCGTGTGTATCAAATTATTTCTTTAATGTTTCTGCACTTTTCATTTCAGCCCTATTAAAGATATTCATGATGTTCTGGAAGTGACAGTGTTCGATGAAGATGGAGACAAACCCCCTGATTTTCTTGGAAAAGTTGCCATCCCTTTGCTGTCTGTAAGTTACCTGTGCTATTTTATCATTCAAACTCTGCTGAGTTTGCTGGGAACGAGTTACAGGTCTTTTCCCCCTAGCACAAAGCAACACAGATTTAGACATAAACAGGTTTTGTGATCTATATATGCCTTGGTTGGCAGTGTTTGTAGTTCTCCTTAGTGTCACGAGCATTGCCAACCCATTTTAGTACAAATTGGTTGATTGGAATGAAAATTGCCCAAGTGTCTGTATTTCATCAGTCCTGTATGCCATGTAGGTCTGAAAATGTAATCAGTTGTTCTGTGTGTTTCCACGTCATCTTCTGAAGGTAACACTTTAAGTATGTCTTTGTTCTGTCTTGCTTCTTTTTCCTCCAAGAAAGTAATTGCACAGCACAGTAGGATTGACTAGAGATAGTTGTTGTTATTGGCACAGATGAATAAAATTACCTGAAAGGGGTGTTTTCTACTCCATAGTGCTTTTACAGACTGGTCTCTTTTGTTCTGTAAACAAATATGTGAAGAGTGAATGCTGTACTGGGAGTATCAATTCAGAACTGGAAACAGAGTGAGCTCGGGGGAACGTGGTTGCTCTGGAGGTTAAGGAGAGTTGAAGCTTTTTCAGAAATGGCCAAAAAAGGCCAAGCTAAGGAGAGAGGAACAGAAAAGGGTCATTAAAAGACATTCATAAAGAAATAGGTGAAGAGCAGCTTTGCGTTTGGCAAGACTGATTTAATTTTGGAACAAGGGTGGTGACTGAACCAGATCAAGGGGATGTAAACAGCTCCTTGTGTATGTGCAGTATCACAGAAGATTCTGGTAGCTTTTGCAGTAATGTTTAGAAAGAACTTTCTGGGTTGTGACTTCTATTAAATCAATTACTAGATGAGGCTTGAAACATCATGGGACTCTTGTGCTCCTATCAGTCAAGTCATATAACCACATTTAACATAAAACAGGGTTTTCCTTAAGTTTTGGGGCACTGGTGTTTTGCAGTAGATTCCCCACGCAGAGGAGATGGTGTGACAGGTATTTATACAGTGAGTACTGTGTTGAACCCTGTCATGCTTGCAATATATAACATGATTCGAGTGATACAGGCAGTAGTGAGATGGTTTTGGTAACACATGGTGTGATACCACTCTCAAATAGGCAGATGGTGAATCCTGATTGAAATTACAGAGCACAAAATTGTGGTATTGTTTTGAAAGATCCTTGTGGAAGCATAGCTGCCTCTTCAGGAAGGCTGACACATGTCTTACATGGTTAAGGCAAGAGTTTGCCTTTGAGTTGTAGAGGTGGGTGGCTGCAAGGAAGGCAGTATTGCAATAACAGGTTAGTGGGGTCTGTCCTAGCAGAGACTGGAGAAACAGGACAGTTCTAGAGGAAAAGCAAAGGTCCCATCTGATGAAAGTGGACCATGTAAGCCCCTCAGAGTCAGGATAATTTAGGTAAGGCACCAGTCACGACCAGAGAGAGGAACTGTAAATATTTGATGTTTCCAAATAAATAATGAACTGCCTAGAAAACTCTTGAACTGGCTTAGAGGATATGATCCCAGCCTAAGGAATGCTTTATAGTGGTAAGGAAATAGGCCCATGTCCTCCAGTTTGTTACTATTTTGTGTAAATAAGTTTCTTGTTGATGTCAATTTAAAGTGATGTGGCTTCTGAATCTTTTCACAGAAGGGTGTTTGTTTTCATCCACCATGTGCACCTTACACTGGAGTCCAGAACAGGGAACTCCTGCAGTATGGGGAACATAAAGAGCCCAAGCTATAGAAGCTGAGGAGTAAATACTGAGCTTTTAGTGCCCCACACACTGTTGTGAGCTTTGCAATCCTCTTCCCTCCGTGGCTCAGACTGCAAGTTCTTTTTGAGGCTGGGGATATTGTGGATTGTCTCTTTTAGTGGCTTGAGTTGTCAACATCTTCCAGTTTTAGAACAATATTACAGTCAGTTGGGCATGGAGGATGATTTGATGTTTACAGGGAGGAAAAAACCTCTTAACATCTTTTATTCCATTTTTGATCACTTTGTTAATTTTTCCCCAAGTCCTCGTATCTCTGATGTTACTGGAAGAGAGTGGCTGGAGCAGCTGCTCTCCTGCAGATCCAGTGCTTGCCAAATGGTCTGCATGATCGGCAGCAGGCTGTGTGGGCTCACAGTGAGAAGATGTTAGATTTGGATTTTCTGTTGATTTTATAGGCATTTGTCAAGTATCCCTTAGGAAGCATGTAACAAGGCAGAGGAGGGGAGTGCATGTGTGTGGTAATGTCCAAACTATTCAGTGTAGGTCTTTTGTCCAAGGTTTGAGGCAAAAAAAAATAAAATAAAAATTGTTTATGCTTTCCCTTGCCAACTGATCTTCTTCCTTCCCGTCCAAACTTCTCTGCCTCCTATTTCAGTCAAATCTAGTGTAAATATATTCATCTCTGCTTCTGATTAAAAAACATTTTGCACCTATTAACTTAGTCTGCTCAGAGGAGTGCAATTTTCTAAGCTCTTTTCCTTGAAACAGGAATGTCAATGTATGTTGTCATTTTGACTATGAATTTGAATATATCCTTTGAACCATTTAGATAAATATGCTGAAAGAGAACAATAGTTAAAGACTTAAGGAAGCCTTGCAAATAACATAGGTTTAATTTTTCTAGGTAATCAGGCCTAATATTTGCCTTGTGTTACACTTCTATTTTCAAAAGAGGATTTATTTGTCTTTTTTTTTTACCCCTCTGTTAAAAACGCACAAGTTTGACATGTGAGCTGTCAGCACATGAAGTAAGTTTACTTCAGGAATTGTTCATGGATGACTAGATTCTTTTCTTAATGAAAATACACTTGAATACACTATATGTTGGTGGGATATGAAATGTTTAATTTGACAATGAATTTTGGTTTAAATATATTCAGGAGTCTTCTGTTGGCATTTTGCAAACGTGGGCACCTTCATCTTCGCGTTTACACACGAGAAACCTTACTGCACAAAAAAAGAGCTGTGATGGTGAAGTTACTCAGGCTTTACATTCATCCTTGACTATGATTTAGGCTTATTGCAGGCACCAAATAAGAAACAAAAAAAATTGGGCAGTATGAGAAGTTTTAAAGTGTCAGATGATGAATAAAGCAGAAAACTCCATGTTCTTTAAATAGGTATGATGAGGCAGTATTGGTTGAATACACAATTAGGTGGCATTACACTGAATTTAGAATTTTATTTGTAGGTAGATGGGGGACAGAGGGAGGGAAATGGTTATTTGCTTGCATTTTATCTTTAGCTTTTCCATGTTATTAAACCTATTGTATTTTTTTTTAACTCCTGCCATTCTTTACCTCAAACGACTGTCCTCCTCTAGAGCACATACGAGAGACCCCATCTTAAATACAGCTCTGGTCAACCACATCCACAGAAGTGGGATGTAAACTGGAAAGGACACAGTTAGGGCTAGCAGGATATCCAGCAAAACAGATCACTCTTGTGCTGGAAGTGACCTGTAGAGTGTGTGACCTTGCCTAAACTTTAGGCTGAGAGGGAGATTGCTTTCTCAGAGCCTGGGGAATAAAAGGGAGGACATTTACACCACTGAATGGAGCAGGCTTTTGTGCTAGCAAGCGAAGAAGATCCTGGGGAATGGAGAAGTAGGGCAAAAACTTCACTGCTTCAAGAAAGCAGTTTAATAGGTTCAGAAGTTTTGTGGGTTTGGGGGGACTTGAACTAATGATCAAAGAAGTTCTTTCCATCTCTGTGTTCTTCTGTGCCCTAGATCTTAGTAAAAGCAACCGTGTTTCTCTTTGTGAGGGTCTGTCTTTTTTGTTTTGCTTCAAGAGACTCCTATCTCCTAGAAGGCTGTGAGTTATTAGATACATGGGAACGTATAGTGTGCTTCAATGAATTTGAAAGCAGAGTATATCAAATATCCTCGTGTAGAAGGATCTTTGAGTGAAGTTGTATTGCAGAATGGAATGGTTTTTATCTGCTGAATTACCAGCTCAGAGTAGACTTCAGCTGCACCCTTTTTTTCAGCAAACAGGAAGAGGTCTGTGAAATGTTTTCAAGTGCCAAGCGAGGTCGGTAGCCAGTGATACACTGAAAACAAGTAGTATGCCTTTGGCAAGCTTAATTATCTAAAACATGGCCTGGACTCAGAGAGCAGACACCTGATGATTGCAGTTACTTAGTACTCGACCCTTGAGTGCACGGCCTTTTCCTTGAGAAAGCTTCAGCATCTGAGAGAAGTTAAAATGCTGCATTCGTGCCATAGAGGCAGCTGTAAAGAGAGTAGTTTGTTCTGACTTTTATCCCTATCATGAACCAGAAATTTTGGAATGGGGAATAAACCCCACATCTCTTCCAGAGAAAACAACACCTTGTTTCTGGAATTACATTCTTCCTGGACCATGCACTACTCACTGAAATGGTATCAACAGGAGTTTTTTCCATGAGTACCCCCTAGGATCCTTGTGTTCTTAGGGTTTTCAGCTCCTCCTCAGGCTGCCTGGAAGCCCTCGTGTGGCTGCTCACTTTCTTTCAGACCATCAGCTCCATATCTTTGGTCTTTGGATAGCAATCCTCTGCCAAGAATCCAAATTTCCATTCTACTTTGGATTTCACAGAAGATTGTTACAAGCTAATTCTTCAGGGCAAAGAGTATTGGGATGGATGAATGGGCATTTTGTACAGAATCAAATCAAGATATATTGCAAAACTAGAGAAAAAATGTCTCTTTATTCATGTCTGCATGGATTAAATATGTGGCTTGCTTTCCTCTCTTTACTGGGGAAACGTGTCCTTTGATAAGGGTAGGTGTGTGTCTATACAAGACAGCTTTATGTTATTCAGGGCAAGTGGTATGACATTGTGCATCAGCAATGAGCTCAAGCAGGAATATCAGAGGTCCCAAATGCTTTAGATGAATTATCCTTGGAGAGTAGCCATTACCCTTTCCACACGTCACGGGTGTTGATGTACAGAGGTTTAACCCAACGTTCTTCTGTCAGGTCATCAATATATGACATTGCATCTGCATCAAAGCTGGATGCAGAGTGAAGTTTTCTTAAAATCAATGTAAAAAAAAAGCCACTAAACCATATTTCTTTGAGACAACAGCAATGAAAAAAAACCCCTTTGCTGTGTAAGGGTCCTGTCTTCTCCGTGTTTTGTGTCATATCAATCTTGGCTTTTGCTATTTCATTAAAATTCCCAAGCGGTCAGGAGGTTGTTGCTTAATAGATTTAGCATTGGCTGGCTACATCAATACTGTGTTTAGTCACATTTGTTTTACTGGGGACATCTGTGAGAAGAGGTTAGCAAATGTATTCATTTATTTGAAAGGAAGCCGGTGCACTTTGGGCCTTGACTGTACAGTGGTCTCGTGCACCTGAGCATTTCCTTCAGCTAAAGCACTGCCAGAAGTTGCCTCTGTCTGAAGTGCCTGTGTAGGTCCAAATATTTAATGCACAAAGAATTTTAGCTTTTCTTCCAACAGCTAGTTTCCCTTGCATGGTCCTGTATGGAGAAGGGTCTGTGATAATGAGTAGATGAATTGTTCTGTGAAAATATTAATATTGCTATTTTTCTGTGCTGATTAAGAACAGAGGAATGCCCTAAATATCAGCAATTCCCGTGGGATGAAAGTCTTGATTTAAAAAAAGTATCTTTCCCCAGAAGTTTTTTGATGGTGACCTTGCAAAGTGGGATAGGCACAACTGTCCTTCTGTTAATCACATGGTTATGGACAGTCTTGGTTGCTCATTGAGCCCTGGTATGTTATATGCTATTAAGAAGCTCTTGAAGAATGCAGGAATTAGTATCCAGTGAGGAGTATAAAACATCATCAGTAAAGTAATAATATTGATTATGTCTCTTTAAGGACCTCACCTGCAGGTGTTTCCACATTTAATTTGAATATTCCTTCCCTTTTCCCATAAGTAGATGTAAACATCCATAGGAAAGATAACCCATTTTAGACACAACTAACAGGAATATTCATTGAATAAAATCCATGTGAGATCATCAGGTATGTAGCAAAAGGTGTTTGGGTGATCAAAGAAGTGTGATCTTTCTGACATTGAGGTTCATCTTAGGACATCTAGCCCTGGCTGGGGGTCCCCTCATCCACAGCTGGAGACAACATTCGGGCAGTCTTTGTGAAGAGCAGAAACTCAGGGGAAAAAAGTACCCAGAGAGGAGAAAGAAATAGACCCAAAATGAAACCAATATGAGTGGCTGTTTCTTGAGCTTGAGAGGGACGTTGAACAGAATCTGAACTCTGGCCCCAAACCAGCATGCAATGAAAATGCAGAGTATTAAAAGCTATTTTACATGTTTTCTTCTGGTCATGGTTGAGACATGCCACGGATCTAATCTCTGTGCAGTCATGGGTGTTAGAGTTACCCTACACCTTTTGTTGAACCGTGCTGGCTTAGCATCTTGCCAAAACTCTGAAGAGAGGCTTTTGTTTGACATTTTTTCAGGCTTTTTTCTTTTTATCCAAATGGAAATGCAATGGAGACGTGCCATTCTGTAGCCAGTTGTTCTTCTCTTGTGCTTTTATTTTTTGCTTTGAAGAAGGTCAAAAGCTGGGATATCTCTATGGATGTTTAGTCTTAGGCTGAGTTATAATTGCACATCTTTTACCAGAGAAGTCAAACACTGGAAATTAAAAATGCCAGATGAAGCTGACTGTAAAACTATATTTGCACTGCATTACTTTCTGCCTTGTTCAATTTTAGAATAGCAGCAACAACAGTAATGACACTGTTTTGAGAAGTTTCCCAAACAACAGAGTCCCTAATTCCAAAGACAGATAGAGATGGAAGGTATTTGTTGCTGATTTGAAAGTTACTGTGTGAACACACCTGCAGACACACCCAAAATACTTGATTCAGCTCCAGCTCTTAAAATGAAGATCTTTTCCTCAAAGTCAGAAGTGGTTTTTTTTGGTTTTTTTTTGAGTGCAGAAAACCATGACATCAGATTTTAACCTTCTCAGTAGTGACAGCAGTTCTTTTTCTTTTTCTATCAATTCATCAGCATGGAACATGTTTTCCTTTGGTTATGATCTTGAAAGTTATAAAGAAGTATATCCATAGGAATACGAGGAGAACTTCCCACTAGTTGTTGCTCCTGGGGTAATAGGATGAAGTGTTATAAGAAATGTGTAACTGAAATATATGGATGTTCAGCCCCCAAACTATAATCCCTGTGGAGAATCCAGAATTATTATGATGTGATATGCATTGGACACCTACATCTCTGCAGACACACGGAGAACAATTTATCTTCTATCCTGCTGCATGAGAGAGTCCATGAATCAAAGCTCATTCCAAACCTGCTACCAGTGGCATCCCCTTAGACCAAAGAGATAGCAACTTCAAGTCCTCCTGGTCCTGAATCTCTGTCATTAGTATCTCATCCATTTTTCGGTTAATTTGGGAAGTTGAACAAAATCTTTAATGTAAAAATAAATTGTTTTCATTCAGTAGCTTTTGAAATGATTTTTTTTCCCTTGCTTGAGTTGGGGAAACCAAACTGGTGAAATAGAATCCTTTATGATGGGCCAACAGTACTATTGGTAGCAGTTGGCCTGAGGACCTTCTGATGGACCTCGTTTAGCCCTAGAAGAGGGGCTTAGCCACTTCAACAGCTCTTCTGTTTTGGGGCTGCAGGTTATCTGAGCCTGCTGCTCTCCAGAGTAGCTTTTTCCTTGCCCCTTTCTTGGGAGCTGCAGCATCCTTTACTGCCAGCTCCAGCCCCAGGTGTACTCTCTTGCAGTGAAAGCGGGGTGCTTTGAGATCAGTTCAGTGCTCTGCCTAGTGTTGTTATTTACCATTATTAAATAAATTCCACGTGTGCTTATATTGATTCTAGCATTGTGTTAAGCAAAGGTTTGGATGAGAACATAGTAAAAAGCTGGAGTTCCTGGCTGGACACCACTGAGGATGCAGAGCTGGTCCTTGTGAGAGCCCTCTTGCCTTTCAACCATTAGAAAACCCACATACCCTTTGACAAGCTATTTGATCCACACAGGATCCTGGGAAGGAGAGTGACCTTTCCCTTCTAAAATCATTTGGTTCCTGTTAGGCCTTTTTTTTTCCAATCCCCTTACCCATTTCTGCCATGGTTTATATGAGTGCCTCTTCTACATGCCAGAGCAGCAATAGCTGTTTTAAATATGGTTGCAATTTCATGCCCCCGAATTTCCTCTGTTATCTTTAATCTTTGATCATTACAGTCCCTGAATGTAGCTTTTTGGGAAGCTGCAGGTTTTTTTATGTTACTGCTGTTTAAAATTTAACTGGTCTGCTTCCTAAAAAGCCAAATGTTTAATCAATACATATCCTACTGTGTATAATAAATACATTTCTGCCATCACTTTTTGAGGAGAGAATGCTTTTGATTGAGCCAAATAGTTTACAAAATGGTGAGGGAGGTTTTTTTTTTGTTGGTGATTTCTTTTTTTTAATAGATGTTTAATGAGATGGGGCCAACGGGTGGTTTAGAGCATAGAAATGGTATTGAAATTCAGAGGTGTGGGGGGAGGAGAAGTCTTTTACACAAATTAGTTAATTTTGAACATTTGTTACATTAGCATTCGTTCCACTTAAGCTGATTAACTTCTTTGGATTGTGTTTCTTTCCTGTGTAATAATTTGACAACCTTGCAATAAACTAAGCATTTAAGAAGGGGGTTTGGGTACTGGACTATGCAATAGGTAGGTAAGCTGTTGTTCGTGGCTCTTTTCCTAAACTTTGGAAGAAAAATCCCATTTTAAACCTGTAATAACAGAGGCTGATTACTTTCCATCAACTCACTGGCTTCTAGGGCAGAATTTTCAGACTGGTTATTGCGTTCACTGCTCTACTATAAACTACAAGGTCTGTAAATTAAAGTTGGACCATAAGAGATTTAATCTGCAATTTTATAGGTCTCTAATCCAACGGTCATTTTGTATTTCAGGTTCCAAGTATATTATCAGGTTTGGAGAGGGCTTTTTTTTTTTTTTGTGGGATTTATTTATTTATTTGTAGTGTCTTTAAATTCTATTGTGAATTACAGCCAGGAAAATATTGATGTTTTTTCTCCCCCCCCCAAACTATAGATTAGAAACGGTAAACAAAGTTGTTACACGCTGAAGAATAAAGACTTGGAACGTGCTTCAAAAGGAGTAATTTACTTGGAGCTGGATGTCCTATTTAATCCTGTAAGTTGAAATATTTTCTCTTTGCTTATCAGTGGTGTAAGAAACATGTGAATCTGCAAGGACGGGAGTGGGAGGGTCGTCCTTCAAAACAGGAGCCAAGCAGGATGAGTCTTGACCCAGTTACATCTGGTAGTGGAGGGGTGTTTCATGCCATGGGTGAAAAAAATATTGGGACATCAGAGCCCTGTGATGGCCCCTCCAGGTGGATGGAACAATGCAGGGGCGTTTTTGGACCAACAAGTGACCCCAAATGCTTAAGGAAGGAGGTTGCTGATTACTGAACGCCAGGGCTTCATTTGCAACAACCAAAAAAGGGCTTAATGCTTAGATTATTATACATTACTTCTAACACCTCCTCCCTCCCCAGAAAGCTGACCCAGGATGTTCTCTTCCCAGGGTGTTGACAGGAAAATTAATGAAGCATATACACGGTACAGTTAGTTTTTAGGTGGCTGAGTCTGTCTCAGTTATTCATGCCCTACAGCCTTTTACCAGGTTAAAGCCTATTTATTAAGGCCATCGTGGGCTGCACTGCAGCTCTGCTCTTCCTCAAGTGACTCCTGCCTTGCCCAATTTCACTCATCCACGTTTTTTTCCTAGGAGCTCCTCTTAAGTTGCAGAGAGGCTGAAAAGAGTGAAAGATCCTGAAATTCCTAATCAACAGTGATGATGCAAAGCTGAAACAATGCACTTCCAACGACGTGACATCTTTTTTTATTGTTTTCTTTATTAGGTAAAAGCAAGTATTAGAACATTCAAGCCTCGAGAAAAGCGCTTTACGGAGGAGAACCGCAAATTTTCTAAAAAGGTGAAAATTGCCTGGGCTAAGCTCTTGCATCTATTTTAGAAAGATGTGAATTGCTGTAGCACAGTTTCAAGAACAAAAGCTATTTATGCGTAAAATGCTGAACACATGTAAATTCTGCATATTTCTGTATATATTAAAAGGAATTTTTGTGTTAACATGAAATTGCTTTTTGATCTCGTGTGCATCAGTAGTTCTGCTTTGTGCTTCAGAGTGGGGAGAGGAAGAGCTGTGGATGTTTCACAGTTCACAGCACCTGAAGCTCAACAAGAGCTTTATTCCCTTCTTTGGAAGGGAGGAAACCAGGTCTAAATTAATTCTTTTAAAAGTGCACAGGATTTTAGAACAGTGCCCATTATCCCTTTTTTTTTTTTTAAATGAAGGTGGTATACAATAAGGCTAAAATTCCCAGTTTATTTCTATGGACTCATCCCAAACATGTAGAGAAGAGATTCAGTGTTTTAATTGCACTCTTTCTGGCCCTGTTGCTGAGACAGTGCTGTATTTTGAGGACTGAAAGGGAATGGAGGTAGGCTTGTGTTAGTGTTTTATTTAGTTTATGCTGTTTTTCTAAGGGATCAGGAAAATCTGGAAGATTTGAGTGTAATCAGAAAGCAGACAGGAGCTGGAGTGTCTCTCTGAAACAGAGACTTTATTTGTAGTATGTGCCCTGGCAGGAATCCATATCTTAAATTATCCCTGTTTCTGAAGCAATAGTAGAATATTAGAGTGTTTGATTAAACTCTTCTTCTTCTCCCCTCCTCCCACTCAATATTTATCAGATCTTATCAAGAAATGTTGATCGTGTGAAAAAAATCACCATGGCAATATGGAATACAATACAATTCCTTCGGAGCTGCTTTCTCTGGGAGTCCACTTTAAAGAGCATGATAGCCTTTGTGGTAAGTGGATTTCTTCTTTTCTGGCATGAGGCTCAGTGATGTCAGAGCTGGAGTGTTACTGTCCCTTCCCTCCACCACCATTAAGACCTGTGTAATTTGCTCTGTTATTGGTGTTTTGTAACTACAGGGCTGGGGGTTTCCATGCAGCTTGGGCCACGTTGAGCCTGAAAGGCATGGAAATTAGACTTTTTGGAATAGCCTTTCTTCACTTGGTGCAGAGGTGCTCACCAGCCTGCACTGAGGATGCCCATGCTCATGGTGGGTGATGCCACCTTCTAAAGGCTGTGACCATGTGATGACTCTGACTATATATATATATTTTTAAACACGGCAGCTAGGTGGTAGGAAAGGAGGGATGTGGTGGCCAAGAGGGTGATGGCAGGAGATGTCTGTGATTTGGGTGATGCAGTGAGCCTGATGGGGCTACCTATCCATTTTCTATTGCAATGAGGAGGCACTTTGCTACATATTATCAATGCCTGCTCTGCCCATGGCCCTGTGGCACGTAAGCAGCTCTGCTGACATTGCCTGTTGCATGTCTCTTGACTGTAATAATATGTTGCTTTAAGGAAAAAAAAAATTAAAATAAAAAGGTAAAGGTTGGTCAGTGAGTTCTGCTGCCTTCTGCAAACAAAGAGCCAAGTTCTCCACCTGCCTGTCCCACTTTCCAGCTTGGTAGTAAACACCCCATTTGCAGTTTTCTCATAATCCACTCAAGCACAAAGGTTTATGCCTGCTTTTTATTCTGCGGTGTGACATTTTCTTCATGCTTGAAAAGTTTGGCATGCCATTAAAGGTTGCAAAATTGTTTTGTGGTGGTCCAGCATGCAGAAAGAAAGTTTTTGAGTTGGGTGTTTATTAAGCAAAATAACAGGCACATCTCTCAGAGTTCTTCCCCTCTTACTGTCTGTGAATTATAAGCCACGTAAAGGTTCTTTTGAGGAAAACACTTTGGTGTATTTGCCACAGATGAGTAAAGTGGACAATGCCTGATTGAAAGAAGCTCCAGAGCAAAGACAGAGGAGCTGTCTTTCACCCTGCAGGTTAGAGGGATGACTGGCATGGAGAAGTAGGTAGGACAAGAGGGTCTTTTCTTTCTATTTTTTTTTTTTTCCTCCTTCCTGTTATTTGAAGCTTATTTAGATCATACCTAAAGTCAACAATTCCAGTGTTAGGGGAGAGCAGAGCAGATGGTACCTTGCTGAAGCAAGTATGGCTGTGCAAGGCAGTGCTACAGTTGTACATGAGAGAATCAGATGGTCATGTACACAGGGCCTGGAAAGAGGGGGGGGGGGACATATGTAAAATCTCAGTGCCAGCATCCCACCATCACTGTTCAGCAAGCAGCTAGACACATACTTAAGAGATTTGCTCTCAAGTGATTTTGCAGCAAAATACTTGTGAAACTATAGCTGGGTAGTTTGCAGACTTAGGAATAAGTTTGGAAGGTGGTGCAGAGGCAGAAGAATAAGAAGGTAGGACAGCAGATGTGCAGAAAAAGGAACTGATTCCTAGTGAAAAGGAGGATGATCACAAAGGTAGAAAGTCACAAGTTACAGATTATTAACATGTCTGCTGGATACTATACAATATCCTGGTTTCCTGACCAAGTGGATAGAGGGAAAGGAATAAAAATATATGACTTCAAGAATAATTGGATCCAGTTTCTTCTACAACCCCAAATTTAAGTCTATCTGTTTTTTTTTCCACGTGGAAATAATTCAGTTCTTGCACTTAAAATGAAGTGCTAATTCTGTGTCTCTCATTATTTCCAATATGTGTATTCATAGTAAAACAAAAAGAAATAAAATACACACACAGCATGGTAGGTGCAGCATCCCTCCCTGCCCCAAGTTATACACAAATCTACTCTTAGTATATATATATTATACTCTTAGTATACATAATACATATATATATTCTATGTATTATCTTCACTGTGATGTTCTAGGAGATTGGGTGGTCCTTAGGAGCCACCTCCCCTGTTGTTTTGCCCTTGGTTTCCTTCTGCAGGTAGCACAAGCCCCTTCCTCCCATGGGGAATAAAGGAAGGGAAGGAGTAGGAAGACAAGCAGACAGTGTAGTGATGTGAACCTTGTTTTCTTAAGCAATAGGGAAAAAAACCCACAACCACCCAAGAAAATGTTTCTGGGATCATCAGACCATGGTAATAGGTGAGGACATGGTATCTTGCACCTTCCTGGTTCAGTCTTCATTACAGTGCATCTCCTCTCCATTAGTGCTGAGAGCTCTCATGGGTAACAAGGACATTAGCTGCTTCTTCTGGGTTCAGAAGAGAAAAAGAGGGATAGATACAGGGAAGAATCAGGACAGCACGGGCAGGACATGGGTGAGGAAATGTTTTCTCATATTTGAGATGCATCATCTCAAGCTAAAGTTTGTTATTAGTTTGTAATGGTGAGATAAGCCATTCTGTGGACGTGTGAGTAGATTAATTTTTTCTGCTATAAAAATGAAATAATATTTTCCACCAGCATTCTGCAATTTTGATTTGATGATTTTTAATGTGAGTTAATTGTATAGGCACAGAGTGTGCTGATGGGGCCTGCTCAGGCACAAGTAAAATAATTTTTTTTCAGGTTTCAAGGTGTTGGAAAGGGGATTGAAAGGCAGGTGAGTTGAAAAAGAAAATTTGACTTGAAGTTATGTTTGTCCTGCAGACAAAAGGTTTGGTGCAAATTGTCACACAAATTCTAGAAAAAAAGCATCTTGGGTTAGAAGAAAGTGTCACATGTAGGTTTTCTGCACTCTTTGTGATGTACATTTCATTGTTGGTCTGGTGTGAAAAATGGGCACAGGTAGATTCAGGGTTTTGAAGCATTTGTACATTTTTAACACAAAAAAGGTCTTCAAGCCTTGTGCTCTGTTTAGTTTTTATATAGTTATCTCTGTATTTCACCCAAAATGTTATGGTCTGACTGACACGTGCCTTTCACAAAGGGTTTTATTTTGAAGACAGCAAGAGACATACTCTAGTACATCCCTGTGTGGTGGTTCTCATGGACTGGACATCTAGCTCCCAGTTTCCAAGGTGACTGTTGTGGTTTTAACTTGGTCCCCATCCCTCCTTCCTCTTCTCACACCTTTCTCCATTGAGTCATCACTTCCACGGTGCATTACTGGTGTCCCAAAAGTTGGAGCTGTGTAGTGAAATGTGCCTAAGGGAATGTCTGCCTGCAAATCATCTTGTGTATCTATGTGATTAGAAGCTGTTTATTTTTTTCCACTAGTACTTAGACAAATTTGTGTTATTACCTTTCTCATCCACTTTTAAACTGAATTTCTGCTCCTTCTTTCCACGTGCAAACCCTCTGCCTCCTTTGCTCTCCCTTCTTCCCTGTTTCTGGAAGTTAAGTCCATAATAACTGAATCATTCTCACTGTACAATATGTATTTAAAAAATATTTTAGAAGTTAATTTTAGTCCCAGAATGATTTTCCTGAAGAATTATGCATCATTGCACATTGTGCTTGTGATTTTATACAACATAATTACACCTTCTATTGACAGTTTTCCCTGCATTAATGGCGATTATGTCATTTAATGAAATTACAGTAATTGCATTAAAAAAAAAACTATAATCTGGTGCAAATTAAAAGGATATATTGATTGGAATTTTTACTATCATATATATTTTTTTTAAAGTTCGCATGATAGTTGCAAGAGACATTGACAGGATCAGGCAAACGATGGGAAGCCAGCCACTTTTAGCACCTCCAGTGTGACTGGCAGTGCTGCTGATCTGCTTCAGGGTCCCTGCACGCTCACCCATGCCAGCAGACTTCATTTTTACTGGCAGCTTGTCCCACTATATCAGGTTTAGGCTTCTTGCTCATCAAGGCTGCTGCCAGGGTGGGTACAGGTGGGAGCTGTTTTCCAGGCTCAGCCCTAGCTGGCAGCCTGGGCCAGCCAGCCAAGGAATGCAGGAGCCACAGGCAGGAGTTGTTTATCTTGCAGTGACGTTGCAGTGTGTCTGATAATTATTTTATGATGGGTTAGTACTGGAAGGAGAGGCAGGAGTATGTGGTGGTGCAGCCTCACGTGTTGGAAATGTGGAGTCTCTAGTCAAACTGACTACAGCTATTTAATGGTGGGCAGCTGGGAAAATGGCAGGCATGGGATCATTTTGGAGCAGTTTGTCTTCCCAAAATGCCAGCTGATGCAAGAGTGGCTAAACCCTGGGATTTTTGGATGCCCAGCAGAGCTGTTGGGTGCTGCGGATGCAGCAGGAAACCCAAACTTAAGCTTTTGAGCTCCTCGCTACAGAGTTGAGATTTTGGCACCATTAAGATCTCAGAAGTTTTTTAGATCTAGAGAGCCAGAGGATACCTCAATTTTTGGCACCTCTTGGGCGAAGGGAACTGGAAGCCTGAGTGGCAGGAAAAGCTGGATGAGGCTGCACGTGCATGCATTACTGTGACAGTTTGCTTCAGTGCTTATCTGGGGTAGCAGCAGAGATAGATTAGACTCTGCAACCCATGGACTTGTGGGCATCTCTGAGAGTGCCATTTAATGAGCTGCCACTTAAGCTTGCAATATGGGAGCTGGATCTGAGCCCAGTTAAACTCCTCTCATAGAGGAGACACCAACCATCTTGTTAGGCATGAACAATTTTTAATCCCTGATGACCTACAGGCAAAAGGCTATTAGCTTGTTGACAGTGTCCTCTAAAGTTGCTAATTGCATATCTGTAAGAGGGAAATGTTCTTTGCCCTCAGGAAAGATGTTTGTTAACTCGAAATCTAAGCCTTCTGGAGTTTACTTGGGGTAAACCTTCCATTCTGCATGTGGACAAGTGTCTCCAGCATGTTATGGTTTGGCTTTCCCAAGCAAAACACAAAATGTTCCAGTCCTGGATGTACTAAGCATAATTCAACCCTGGACATGACAACAGTATATGGGTAAATCAAATTTAACTTCTGCATTGTCTGGCAACCCAATGATTTATTTTTTTTATTTTTTTATTGGTGGGAGGGGAC